AAAAAAAAAAAAAAAAGAGAAAAAAGAAAAAGAAATTTCTTCGAGGAAGAAAAGTCGCACAATTTATGCCCTTGACACGAGTATGTATTAAGAATCGCGCGGAAATTCTCGCGGGAGAATTTATATTCTCTCAGTGTCAGCAAGTCGTTAAACTTGCTAATTAGCGGGTGAGAAATTGGAAGGCAAGCTCGAGAGAAATTAAAAGAAGCAAAAATTGGGGGAAACCAGGAACGATTGATTAACCGATTTATGCCAATTACTCCGAATCGAGCGTTAAACGAAGACGCCGGACACGGGAGCGAATTCGAATTGCTTCCGGTTAATGAGATTCCAATTAACAGGATAAATAGACTGCTATGACAGAAATCGACCGGCTACAATCGCCAATACATATCGTGCGTTTAACGCACGACTTTGGACCGAAGGAAATTTTCCTCGACGATACTCGGAAATACACATACCGTTCGAAAGAAATTGAAGCTATTATTTACCAGTGTTCTGGCAGGGATTCGTTTGTCTTATCGTCGCGTTTTATTCGCCGAATTACGTCGCGAATCTCGAACGGTAACGCTTAGACGATTTCCTCAAAAGTCGAATCGTGTTGGTGTTCTAGCTCGACTATCCTGATCATCATCTTATCGCTCGTTTCCGAGTTATTCTCAATTCCCAACGTCGTCGCGTTGAAACGAAAAACTATCCATTTGGCATTTTCATATCGAAGTCCTTCCGTTTTTATAATCAAACCGCGCATCACAAAAGAAACACCATGCCGTGCGCTAGAATCAGATAAGGGGGAAAGGTGAAATAATAGTATCACCAGAGTTCCTATTAGTTTGAAGTGTGCTGCGAAGGGTGTTATCGATTTCACAGGATTGGTTTTTCTGAAGAAAGGAAGAGAAGACATAGAGAACGATGACCAACGTCCACTCTTTAAAGACAGTCTCGGCCGTCACCTTTGAACAATTTTCTTCCGCGAGTTTGCCCGTTTTAATGAAAAGTTAAATGTTTCATGAGTTTCCATCCCTCTCATTAATTCTTCTCTTCTCCGACTTACAACGAGATAGCTGAAATGGCCCGACTTGTCCAATAAATTTTATCAAATTGCGAAACGTTTCGAAAGCTGGACGTCTATCCTGTACCAACTTGCTCAATAAAAGAGAATTTCATTTGTTGCTGGACAGTTCGTTAATGTACTAGTAAATTGAATAGTTTTACCTAGCTACGATAAATCCTCACCCTTAGTTAGATTATCAGACATTGCATATTCATTTATCAAATGTCTCTCGTTATGTAATTGCTTAATTATGGCGCAGCACACAAGACTCGACCACCGTTCATGTAACGCATTGCTGCGTAATTTCTACTGCATTTTAAACGTCAAACGCACGCTAATTGCGATTCAAGTATATCGCATAAATGATTATTTCGTGGAAATTACGCGTAAAATTATTACAATGTTACGTTACGTATACGTATACAAGCGAGAAAAAAAGAGAAGAAAAAGAAAGTCAATGGTAATTGAAAATTGTTGATTTGCAATGAAACGGTCAAGAACGTCGCGAGCGTTTGATTTATCATGCAAATGATTTATCAGCTTTCCCAATAGCTCTCCCTGCGTTGTAATATGCCTATCTCGCGCAACGTATCTTACGAAATCACGCGATTTCCGTATCGATTAAGCGAAACGACAGAACGCAGGAGCATTCGTTTTCCTCTGAATCTTCTTTCGTTCTTCTTCTTTCTTTTTTTTTTAATAAAAATTTCTTAAAAAAAAAATTGCCACAGTATATTCTTGTGACAGTGAATACGAAATGTTACATCGAAACGCTCAAGCAAAAATTCGACTTGATATCGGCAATCAAAGCCACCACTGTCACTGTCTCCACCACTGTGACTTACATCACGTGTCATTCGTACTCGTACGTTCCCCTCATTTATTTCTGCTAATTGCACGGATAGTGACAAACTGTCGCGTAGTAAAAGTGAAAAGGCTCGTCTCTGGTAGTCGTGTTCGCCATTTAACTCTTATTATCGAGCAAGAGTACGTTGATAAGCGTAACTTCCAGACCGTTGGGGAATTGAGCGATAAGTAGCGTGCTGACGTAAATCACAATATAAATAGACATCGAAATGAAAGAAACCGGCTTATTAGATTTTTGCGATACTAGGATTATGGGCCTCGAATAATTAACGGTTGGAGGTTAGTCGGGGAATACGCAGGGATCGTTTGCAATTTTAAGAAGCGACACGCAGAAGATACAGACCCCCGAAGAGCGTTCAAACCCGACAATTTCCACGACGCTTCTTCGTTAATATTGGAAGCAACGCGACACTTTATTCCATTTACCTTCTTTTAGAATTTCAGCTCGACGTGCGTAAATCTCCGCGGTTTATTTATAAAAACAAACAAAAAAAAGAGAAAAGAAAGAAAATAGCAGGAACAAAAGCGACACGCGGCAACAAAAGTGCCAACGGGTTTATAACTGCGAACGCTTTAATTCCTAGTAGCTGGATACGTGAATTTTATCAAAGCGTGCAAATTAATGAGACATTTTTATGAAATCAGCGCGGACAATATCTGTTAAATGTGTTAACCTTGGAGATCATTCTCTACCATTCTGCGATCTTTTTAATTCAACCCGTATCGTTTTATCTCCTTCTTATCTTTTTAATTCAACTTGTAACCTCGTAGTTTCGAACGGTGGTGTAGGTCCAAGTTCATTGTTTATCGCTCTGAGCTCCGTCGTGGTGATTTCAAAAAACCAGAGAACACTTCCTCGATGCCAACTTGGTTGAACCTTCATGGTCCAACGCCTTGTTTAACGCGCGAGCACGAAGCATTTCGTCCTAATTCTACTTCGCCTTGTTTTTTTTTCTTTCTTTCTTTCTTTTGCAGTGAAATTATCTGGTGACAAACTAGCACCGAAAGACCCGGTTGCCAAATGAACCGAAATGTCTCGTTTACCGGTATCAAGCGTTTTACAGTTGCGGTGACAAAGCAAAGGTTGTAATTGCTGTTTTTAATTTATAACACGTTTATCTCGTTTCGCGTGGAACAATGGCATTAGCCAAAGGTTTTATTCGACGTTCCACGTTTTATTGAATTTCATCTGATTTCAGCTGGTGCTTTTGCGTTGTATTATATTTTTCCTTGTTTTCTTTTTTCCTGTAAACGTTAACAATCGCGCTTCTTCAGGGCCAGTGTCTGATAGAATTTAGCTTGATGGAATTTAATTAGCTTGATAGAACTTAGGACGATGGAGTTATTGGCTACGAAATAAGTTGCGAACAGCGGACGAAAAGGAAAAGAAAGTGACAATTGAAGGGGAAAGAAGTGGTTAGGTGACGAATCCCTCTAACGAGGAAACTTGGACGATAAAAGTATAATAAGTCTGTGAATTGGTTCTGCTTCCAGAACAACGGATATCGGGATTCCTGTTGACTGTCCAAATTTGATGCTGCTCTTTTATATCGTGCAATTATTCCTGCGCGAGCTCTGCAAAAGCAAGAACCTCATCCGCATCGTGCCGATGGATATGACGGAGTATTATGGTAACTTTGGCGACACCTCAATCATTCGACATCGTTGTCGAAACGACGAAGAATTCAGAACAAAAAAATCTGAGAAACTTTTGGGAAATAATGATTCTTGTCTATTTTCAACTTTTTATGAAAAATGAATGTTCATCAATCGTGTTACTTATAATGGTATTCAAGATTGTATCTGATGCAAATCCATGTGTTTTAATAACTGAAGAGAAAGAATCTATGCGACTATTAATACTGGAACTACCAGAGTGATCAAAATGACCAATTTATACTTTTCTATGGAAATTTTATCCATTTGTAACAGCGTATTTTTAGATACTCGAGTGATTTTTGATAAAAGCATATTAACAGTTTGTGTTCTTTATGTTTAACAAGAGAAGTTTGTGTTCTTTATCGTATTATTAATTTCTACTTGTATCTTGCACTTTAATTTCCTTGCCACAAATATTATGCTTTGGTCGTCGGTAGTTCTAGTGTTAAACAGATATTACGACGAGCATTATAATTTAGACATTTACCATACTTTTACGTGCGTGTGACTTCTGTGCATTTTTTTGCACCTCTGAATTTCCCATGAACGCATAAATGTCCACCATCTATTTACGTGTCGCACAATTTTCCCAAGAGCCAATTCACGATAACGACCAGCACGGATTTTTTTTCACGCTCCTGTTTCAGAAACTCGAACCGGGCCATCCAACATCGGCAACGTGATCTCGCAGATAGTTCTCTGTAAGCAGATCACGCCGGACTTCCACGAGGAAGAATTGTGCAGCATCCAAAAGGACTCCGAGGAAATTCGAGGTTTGATGAACGAGCTGCAAGAGTTTATGCCACAATCGAGTGGCGATATAGGTACCGTCATCATTCTCTCCATCTTCATCATTCTCTGTTCTCTTTTCCCTTTGTGTTTCGATTTCTCTTCGGCTGGTAAATTTACACGACGATCGTTACAATCGTTGCTGATCGAAAAATAAACGCGCGCGAAAGTGGCATCCTTCGAAAAGATAAAAGCTCTTGTCGCGATCAGAGCGGATATTTTCCGAGGGGGAAAGTTGAATTTTGCAACTGGCACGAGAATTGAACGGGCACGTCCGCGGCACTCGATTCCCCTCGAAACGTAAACGCGCCACGTTCATTAATTCAATTACGTTGTCCTGCGAACACTTCGCCATTCTATTTGCCACTCTAATATCTCTTCCTGCTTCGTTGACCTTTCTTTCTCTATCCATCCTTTCTCCTATTCTCTCTCTCTCTCTCACTCTTCTCTCTCTCTACCCGGCCTCTCTATTCAGCCGTCTCTAATCGGGTTACTCCAGAGGCCAAGGTCTGGATTTCAAAGGAGAACACAATTCTCCCTTTCTCTCTGTTCGTCCCTGTGACTGCATCTTACCTCGTTGCTCTTACCAATTCCCATTGATTCCACGGAACAAACGTATTATCCTCCCAACAGGATAAAGCTCGGTATACAGTTATGAAGCGGTAGTGCTTCTCGGTTCACTTCTCAGGCTCGGATAGTACACGACGACCTTAATTACCCATCTGCCGATATAATGAGCGAATTCAGATGCGCCCCTGTGGCCCTCTAGAGACAGGAGCGAGAGAGATGGCACGAAAATCACCGTGTAGCACGATCTTCGATCCTCTGAACGTCAGTTTGAAACTTCGCTTGGTTATTAAGGGAATAACAATTTCAGCTACAAAGAGAGAGAGAGAGAGAGAGAGGGGGGAGGTAAAAATTTGACATTGAGCAAGATCCAGGTCAAGGTCGAGCGAAAACACAGTGTTTCTCTTTAACACTTTATTCGCGTGTGACGAGTAGAAAATTCACGGTTGAGAAAGATCGCAGACCCCCGGATCGTAGAAATGAAATAAGAAAACAAGCAAAATCGTCGGAGTTGTAGGTGAAAATTTCGTGAAAGGGCAGGTCGAGTGGTGTGCGCACGGCGTGTCGTGAAAATTCGTCGGGGAAACGGCGCGAAACGATACGAGAGAGACAGAGAGAGAGAGAGAGAGAGAGAGAGAGAAAAGGAGAGAGGAACGAGATGGAAGGAAGCAGAGCGCGAATAAAAAGGAACGCACGGTTTATTCTCGAGTTGAAATACTTACGCGACTCACTCGCACCAAGGAGGAGCTTTGCCAAAGTGGAAAGAAGAAGAGAATTTCCGAAAGATGTTCGAGCCACAGGAATCCGGTCAATGTGTTGTGTAGTACGGTGGAAGCACGTAAACAAGAAACACAAAACGCAGAAGAAATACATAAAAGCTACGGAGAACGCGAGAGCATTATTTAACATTAAACAGAGCTCTCGGGTCAAGGATAGATGGAAACGTGGAAGCTCGTCCCTGCGTTCCCTCCGTTCTCCACGGAAACGAGAATTCGCTAGGCGCGGGAAAAGGATGGGAAAATCAAAGGTGGAGAGGGAAATATGTCCGACCGCGAACCGATAAAGCAATTCGAGCCACGATTTGCGAAACAATTTCGATAGATAAAGTCGTGCAAACCTTTTGCACGTAGCCAGCAGGATGCACCGTGACCAGCACCCTGCTGACCGATTACCCTTTATTTGCTCTCTCTTCTAGAAAATCTTCTAATGGAATCAAATTGGAATGGAATTAATACGTACGCGTATCGTCGATTATTACGAGGTGCAATTTTCAGGGTCAAGGATGCGAGAAATTCAAAATGCAATTACGACTTTTCAGAAAGGAAAAGCCATCTTGTGGTAATTGAGAGTAAGTTTCGTTGTCTGTCGAACGGAGAGAAAAAAAAAGAAAAAAATGAAAAAAGAAAAGAAAAAGAAGTATGTGAATGAATTACAACGATTGATAAAGAAAATTAAAGTTGTAGTTCCCGAGATGACGAAACGAGCACGTTCGCGTAATATTTTTTTTTTTCCTCTCACTGAATTCACGGTACTCCATTCGCCAAGATTCTCGGAGAGTCGATGAAACCACTCGTGATTTTACGATGATGCAAAGTCGAACGCGAAAAGATCTCAACGAGCAGGCAACGCAATTTATTGCCGTCGTACCAATGGAGGAGTTAAGTCGCCTTTTCATCGTAGCACGATACGAGCTCGTACGATTTTTTCGTATTGCCTGGCATCGCGTGAAATGGCATCGTCCCCAGGAAGTTGTCGGGCTAATGGCGACGATATATCTCGCGTAAGAAGGCTTACATCACATTTCGCTACAATTTGTCCGACAATTTTTTCCGTTTTCGCGTTTTCATTCGTCGCGATTCTGAAATACGTTCCCAGAATATAAAGGATTCGTTCGTTTTTCACGTGCATTCATCGTTGAAGGTGATATACTTTCAGAGAAGAATGCTCCTTTGAAAAATACAGATACTAGAAGATGACATTGAAAGTCATACATTATACAAATATCGATACGATTGAACAGGTTGATTTGAGACAGGTGATTTGAGACATTGTAGTTAAATATCACATTTTGCTACCTTTCGTTCTTTCTAAACTTGTACGCTTTGCAAATCTCTCTAAACGAAAACTGTAGACTTGAAGAAATCGTGAAACATCTGTGAATTTCAGTGGAACCTACCCACACAACAACGTTTAGTGTAAAAAAAAATTAATGTACCAGTAAATCAAAAGATTTGATATTCTAAAATAAATAGGGTAAAGGAGTAACGAAAAATGCTTTCCAAAGAATTCCTTTTCCTTCCCGTTAAATAGTTGCTCGTTGACTATTTGGTATTCAAAGCTAAGAAAATTTTCTCTACACTTCATTTACAGAAAAGTATTCAGCCCTACAGAGTGCCGGAAGTAGGGGTAACCGTACCAACGGCAGGCGGACACATCGATGGAACCAAAGCACCGATAGGCCTAGCAGACCCACCAGACAATCATCCTACTTTCGCGGAGCTTTGAATCTCTTTTGTTGTACCGCACGAGCCAACTATGTTTAATCGAATTAACCGTAATTTGGCCACCAAATTTCGTTTAAACATCAAGCCCCTCCACCAAGAAATGTTTACTAGTTTAAATACCGGATTACCCTTCTCGATTTTCTGTCGGTAAACCTTGCGATTGAGTCACAAAGTCGAGGGAAAACTTCCCCTATATTTTTCAATTGAAACGACTCTAGTCTCAACTCTAATCGATCTTAGGCGATAAGAAACCTGACACTAAAGCTTTATTTAGTTCGTAAGTACTGATCTTTAAATATAGAGACATACTCGGTATTTTTATAAAGAAGTTTCATTTACCGCGAAATCGTTTAAACGATTAAAATTGAAAGAAATCTGACTCACGATGCAATCTCGTCGAAGTTTTGCATTGTTGATTGACCAATCAGTTCCACAAAACGACGAAGGCAAATCGATTTCTCGGTGAATTTTTATTAGAATTCCTCCGGTTCTTCGATCAGATGGCAGATGATATCTAGTATTTAAAAAAGAAAGAGAGGTTAATGTAAGAACAATCATTGTAGATGCCGTTTTATTCGTGTAACTATTAATCCGAACTGTGATGAACGAGCTCAAATTTATCGCTGATCGGCCAGCGTGTAAGAAACTACGCATCACGTCGGAAAGTAGGAAAATAAAATACCAATTGAATTGAAGAACGTTGATTACATATAGTGGACCAATGTGAACCACGTATCGCTCGTATGCAATGAAAGTGACGCAATCAAAAGAATTTATATATTTGAAACTTTAATCGTATTAGACTGTGAAAGTATTCCATTTTTATCTAGTTACAATTACAAAAATCACGCGCTTGGATTCTTTCATTGTTATTCATGTGTTAATAAAAAAAGAAACGTTTCGTGTTTTCAACTTGTGTCATTTTTTATAGCAAATTAGCGATACGGTTCTGTAAACGGTTCATTTTAATGTTAAATATATTAATATATGAATATTGAAAAAAGATATATGTATATGTGAAATCTCTCTCTCTCTATATATATATATATATATACATCTATTACATATACACGTTGCATTGAATCGTATAAAATTAAATATAATATAATGTTGGTTTTTCGACTACGTATCGATAAACGATAGTGATTATTATTGTTTCATTAAACATAATTGACTCTTTTGTCTAGTGGTACGTCGATATCTTTTGCATTTGATTTCAATCGTCAATCAAAATATTACAAAAAAAGGATTCATGTACGATACGAGTTATTGATCTTTTAGTTAAAATCTGGATATTAAATAGAAATCTACATAAGAACATAAACATATGAAAAGAAGTACAAGACCGTGCATGACATTCTATACGTGAAACATGAATATTAACGTTCATGTTATCGATATTTTATCTGTTTGACAAATCCTTAAATGTTTGTTTCGCTTGGCGGTATAAGCTATTAAACGTTCTGTTCAAATTCTTTATCGACCAGAAGTTTCACTGTATCGTACATTGTATCATATTCGAAGAACAATAAATAAATTACTGTATGTTAAAAGTTTGTACTTATTTGGTGTTGATATCAAAATTTTCTTCGCTGCTCAACTGATACGTATACAAGAAAGTAAAAATATGAGAGAATAAAACAAACGCATGATACACCTTAAAAGTAGTTGAAAGTAATGTATTATTGAAGTCAATGAATTTTTGCTTACCAAAATTCCTCTCGTTTTTATCGAATTTTTGTTCAAACTGTTCAGATGTCTATCTCTTCAAAATTACAATACGCTATTGCCCTCTTGCGAAGACCAGAGGAAACTATATAGCGCGTAATTACAAAATGATGACCTAAAATAATAAATAATATATTTAAACATATTACATAGTTGATTGAATTGTAGTAATAAGTAAATAAACGAACGACGGTAAATAATCTTATGTTAATTGTTACATAAATAAAATTTTGTAAGTTTAAAATTATTTCTACAGATGTCGCTATTAAAATAGAAAATGTATTCACTTACACATCTGTGTGAAACAGTTCACGTTATATAATGGTGGATTTGTAGAACTGCACTTGTAGTTCTTGTATTTGGATACCTGTTATTTGAAATATATGACAATGTCCTTTAGCAGAGTAATTGTAAGTAATATTATAATCTACAACTTATTACGATCATTAATATTTCAATAAAATGTATAAAAGTGACATTCCCACAATTAAATAAAAGTAAAATATTCTGACAATTTAATTGTTGAATTGATTGGATGAAAACATTCTAAAACTAAAAAATATTGTATAAAATTAACAAAAAAATATTATCATTTTGTAGGTGCGGTCACTTTCTACCAGTTCTGTTACTCAACAATTGATCAAGGTACTTTTTAGAATGCATATTGGACATAAAATTATATAACTTTGAAGAATACTTAACTAGTATTTTATAATTATATGACCATTTGTAATTCAGCATTCTATGAATTATATTTAAAGATTTTTTATTAATTTAAATTATATTGTCTCTTTGTTTTTAGCCTCCAATCCAAGTATACGGAATAGAAGGACGATATGCCACTGCACTTTATTCTGCAGCTACAAAACAAAAAACATTAAATAATGTTGAAAAAGATCTGCTTAAACTTCAAGTACGTATAACAAAGATTTGATTCTTAATTATTGTTATTAATACTATTAATGAAAACATGATGTTAGGATCTTCTGAAGAAGGATAAACAATTAGGAGAATTTGTGCAGAATCCATCAATAAAACGAAAAGATAAAGTAGAAGCACTTAAGGCAATTGGTAAAAAAGTTAGTCTCAGTAGTGAAACTGTAAATATATTGGGTCTACTGGCAGAAAATGGCCGACTTTCACTTCTAAACAGTGTGATTAATACATTTAAATTATTTATGGCTGCTAATAGAGGTGAGGTTCCTTGTGAAGTAATAACTGCAAAACCACTTGATAATGAAATAACATCTAAGCTCCAAGCAGCTCTAAAGGGATTTTTAAATAAAGGTGAATCTATTTTGCTTACATCAAAAACTGATCCTTCTATTATTGGAGGTATGATTATATCAATAGGTGATAAATATATAGACATGAGTGTTGCCAGTAAAGTAAAAAAATACTCTGATATTATTGCCGACACAGTGTGATCACTTTTTCTAATATTCAGTGATATGAGTACTCACATAGAACAATTTATTGTATATATCATTAAACAATAAAATATTCAGAATCTACTTATTCCTATTAAAAAGGTCTGTTTTTTATTATATTAAACCATTTTACATACAAATAAGCTTTATTACATTTTTTTTAAATAAAATCAATCAAGATGAAAAATGAAATCTTATTCTTTATGATACTGTATGATACAGTAAAATAATTATATTTGTTCTTATACTAACAAAAATTTAAATGCCATTTAAAAAGTATTTTTATTTGAAAAATTAAGTACTTACAATGTTCTGAATTTGTATATGCATTTACAGAGAAGTGCACAAGGTTCAATTTTTAAATGTCACTACATTTTATAAATTAATGTACAATTATAACTTCTATTAACATTATCTTTTAGTATAGTTAATGTGTTTACTGATAGTCTCAAATAGCAAACAATTGACTACCTTTCGTAAAAATTTTAAATGGAATGTTATAAATAATCACGCAAAAAAATGTGCTTGCATATTATTTTACAATACGTTTTACAATGTGTAACAATAGATATATAATACTATGTAACAATAAATCTTAAAAAAGAGATTAATTATCATAATTTTTCTTTTTACAAATTTGTTTGCAATAATTCTAGAAAAAAACCAAAAAAATAGATCTCAGAAATATTATGCATAAAGTTATTCAAATATTCTTAATATTTACCAGACATTTTGCAATTTTTTTGTTTATGATTAAAACATAAATTACACTAAAATGAGACTAGAAAATATTGTCTAATCTAAATTTAAGTGTGTGAAAAAATCCACACGTAAATTTTTACTCTAACTATGAGAATAACTTCTTTGGATGGATGTGCAGAAAAAATTGAAGGCACATCAGCATAAAGTTTAAAAAAGAAATCATTCATCAAAATTGAAGTAATTTCTATAGTTTTTCCCTTACTTTATCTATATTTCATATTGCAACTGGAGGTATATCATTTTTTACTAAAACCCAATCTTCTTCCTCAAGTGTAGTTGATATCATAAACTCATTTGGTACAACTGGAAATATATGTATTCGATTTATATATTACAAAAATATAATCGTATATATATCAAAAACTAATTTTAATATACTTACTATGAAATTCAATTTCTAATTCATGTTTATCCATACCTGTTGGATGTAGCAATTTCCCATCAACATAATTACTTTGTTGTAAAGGTTCATTTAATTTATCTTGTAAAAGTTTTTTTCTACATTCACTTAAATCTTCTAACTTTCTTAATTCTGTACGGTAACTGACATCTTCATCACCAGATTCCGTTTCTGTATGATCACTGTACTCATTTTTTTCTTCTGTGAAAGTATTGGAATGTACTGTACAATCTATATACGTATCAATAGATTGGGACATGTTTGAATTAGTAGTACTAATTTGACTATTTGTCATATATTTTGATAAATCAAAGTCCAGAACATCAGACAAAAGTTTTTCTTTATTTTCAACATCACGTTGAATTGATTCGAGATTCCTCTCAGTTTTTAATATAAAGTCATCATCGACACTGAGTGTTAGTGAAGAAGAATGTGTCGTTTTTGCATCATTAGCATTTATTTTGTCTTTATTGGAAGCAGACAAATCGCTCGAATTAGCGTCAGTCAATGATAAAGAATTTTCATTTCCATTTATTAGTCTATTACGTGATTTTTTAATCTTCCTTTCTGGAGTAAATACAACATCTTCAAATTCTTGTTGACTAATTTTTTCAAATATTTGCCTTCTATCATTATGTTTTTCATTTTGTTCACTACTTTTTTGTTTAGAAACATCACTATGTTCTGTTATTTGACTACTGTCTGTTATTAATGAAGAATTAATATTTTCTGATATTGCTAGAACTTCTACAGCTTCTTCTGCATTTGTAACTGATGTTACATCAGTACCAACAGTAACAATTGGTACAATTCTAAAAAGTAATATATATATATATATATTCTTATACAATTTATATACTATTTATTAATAAAAATAAATATTTTTTTTTTATTAGGATACTTTACCCTACAAACTGAATAATATTACTTGGATTCATTTTATGGAAAGGAATAGCTGGCACTATTGTACTTTCCATTAATTTTGAAGTTATTTCTAATATACCATTGGTAACTGGTTTACTACTTTCAGCAAATGACAATAATGGATCTGATATATTATTTGTTTCTAAACATAAATTAGTTTTTAAAATTTAAATATTAGAAAAATATTAATAATAATATTCCGAAAAATATTTAATAAAGATACCTGATGAAAACATGTTAGTTTCAGGATAATATGCAATACGTATTATGTTTCTTTCCCCTTCTAATATAAATATTTCATCTTTTGTACAAGCAACATCAGTAACACGACGTAAATCTGTTATGATGGATGTTATAGCAATAGTTTGTGGATTTACTACATATATAATATCCTCACTGTATGTAACTAATAAATCATCACAAAACGGTAAAATGACACCAAATGTAGGTTCCCCACGATTCCTTTTACAACTTTCTGGTGCTGGATTTAAAAGCTCTACTTCTGTATGTCCAGATCGAACGGCATCCTTAAAAATAAGCGTTTTTAATACAGTTCCAGTTTTATCAGCTTGCCATAAACGTAATCCTGGTCTACTAGCATATATTACTAAATCTTGTATATAATTTTGTCTACAACCAAACACAGCACCTAATCTTCCCAATCTAGAACACAGTATTATTACGGTTTCATTTATAATATTAGTATTCCTCAAAAATTTGGAATTAATTAAATGAAATACTGACGTTTTGCGTTCTTTTTGACCAACTTGCGTTACCTTTCCATTCTCATTTCTATTTACCAATATTGTACGTAATGTTGTAGAGACTAACAATAAACCTTGCTGATAACTTAATTGCACTACTGCATATTTCTCATTTAACAATTCTGATGATTTTGAAAGATGCTACAAAAATATATATATATAAAAATTTATGAATAATGTCACTATGCTATTTAATTTACATTACGTACCATATAAAAATCAATTTCAGTAAGTACAACTAAACCATCTTGATCTCCACTAAATAATTTCATACCATTCTTAGACCACTCAACTGTTGTTACTGCACTATTATGCAAACCACTTATGCTATACCTTTCAACTTGTTTTTTCTGCTTTGGTTTCAAGCTATCTGGTAATGAATCTGGTGGACTTTTAGGTATTTGAAATACAGTTACTACTCCATGTTCATTACCAGCAGCAACCATATAGTCTACTGTTGATATCACTTGAATACATGTAATTTTTGAATTGACATTCTGAAAAAATTGAAAAATAAAAATATGAATTATAAAATAAATTAAGGATATATTTTATATTACCTCACATCGAAGCCTTTGCAAATCTTGCTTTATTCTATCAAACCAATATACTAATCCATAGTTAGTTCCAATGGCTATAAATTCAGGTACTGCATCAATACAGGTAAAGTTAATGTTATGTGTAAAAAGTCCAGTTTGAATTTTTGCAGGTATTTGTTGAAGAAGCATAGCAAGAGGTGCCCATTCTCGTAAAGTACCACCATCTTCACACATAGGTGTTGTCATTGTAAATGCTACATATATAAATTATATTATAATTTATATTCATCACATATTTAATAAGAAAAAATTACAAATGACATAAGTAATAACAAATTAAGATAATTCGTAAATAAAGTTTGATATTTTTTTTGTGCAACATTTTATATTATATACGTAAATTATTAATGATAAACTACACTATAGTCACTCTAAAAGTGACACGTATGAAATCGTTATTTATCATTATTCATAAATTTACTACATGATATATAAAATTACCTTCTTATAGAATTAATGTGATTTGTAAAAAATATTAAAGTCACATTCAATCACATTTCTTTTATCGTATTACATAAAATAATATTTTCACAAACATTTTAATAGTTCATCTAATATTTTATAATTCGGTAAATTCTAACAAGACTACAGTGCACGCCTTCAAGCACCATAAACCACATCATATATAGAACAGACATATGACTATGATTACACTAAAGCTCGTATTTTCTAGATTTATCCTATTTAATATTGTCAAATAAAAATGTATATGTAAAATTCATTTGCTACATTTGTACTATAAAAATAAATACATAGAATATTGATATTTACATAATACTATAATATAGTATTAATATATTCAAAAAATGATCAGAGAATAACATTTTCAAAATGAAAATTTAATAATAGTGCATACTTCCAAAATATAAAAATTAAAACTGATAATTTTTTACGTACGTATTAATCATACAAATTTAAGCTTATATATATATATATATATATATATATATATAAAATAATATTAATTAAAGCAAAAATTCACATATTTATAAGAAACTGTGTAATATGTAGTATACATACTATGTAGTATATATATGTAAATGGTTATTAAGCACACTAGAGAAGTGCTGCATTCAGGATATGTGTATTCTATTATCAATGTTTATCAAGTGTAAAATGTTATAGATTGCGAAGATAAGTTGCAAATTTTCTTGAATTTTAGTGTCTATTTAAAAAATAAAATTTTTGAAAACAATAATTCAATTTGATTAACTGTAATATTCAAATGTTTTTATTCACTAAAAAGTAAGGTTCCTACATAGAAAAGCGATAAATCAATAATATTTATATCTTGGTTAAGAATGTAAGAATACTAATATATGTATTTTATAAAGTTTTTCTTGTTTTTATACCAATTACAAAAGAAATTTATTTCAGTTAAGACTATAAATTTCAAGGTCAGCAGAGTAAAATAAAAGATAATAGAATTTATTTAACGAAAAAATACCAAAGCTTAAAACATCTTTATTTTTTCTTTTTTGTAAATAATATATACAAAAAAAGGTTAGCAAATTTTTCGTCAAATTGCATAATATGGTATACTAAAAAATAAAAATTACTATATATATTACGTATTAAATTTTAATGGTTAACGAAAAATATAAATAGACGAATCCAAAAATTATAACCATTATTTGTATGTTAAATTTGAAACAAGATTTTTATAATTCAATATAAAGAATTATTGAAAATAATAGAAGCAAATTTTATTTCATATATAAAACGATGAATTGACTTGTCATATACAAACGATATTACTAATTGTTACCTTCACTTTTATAACAAACCAAACAATTGACAACACATTAGGAAAATATGGGACTTACTAATGGGATTTCACAAAATGTCATTATGAAATGAATTTAATTTAAACATTATACAGCCGATGACAAAAATGTAATGCTTTCATTCTTACTGCCTGACTGGTTGTAAACTGTTATTCTTTTACAAGTATCTTATTATTATAATAGTATAATATTAATATTATATCAGACAGATTCACACAACGTTCGCAGTATGAAAAGTGATTTTTTTCTTTATATATTTTTTGTTCTTTTTATGTTCCTTTCTGCTAATGTTTACGCTCCCCAATGACTAATATATGTAGCACAAATACTTAGTAATCGTTTTCGTTTAAACGTGAAAAATGTGTAAAAACGTGAACGTTCGATGCGACGACGGTATAGAGCATTATTTTGGGGAAGGGAATTTGCGTACTGTTTTTCACTTGATTTCTCTCAATAATATTAATAATTTTGGATTTGCTGAAATACTCCTAATTCCTGTCAGTGGCTCGGAGCTTTTCTTCAACAGCTTCTTCAGAAGCCTCTGAAAGGTCTGTTGCCTGTATATATTTTTGCACACCAACTAAGGATTTTTTCAAAGCATCGAAAGAACTAGAATACAACATCTTCTTCTTGACTTTAGCTGTGTCAGGACACCACGACATCAAGAATAATTTTTGTTTCTTGGAAGCCTGAAAAGTAACAAAATCCAATTGAATATTTCAGGCAAAATTTTCAATGATACCAATTATATATTAAGAATATTACCTCGGAAGTACCCTGACACTGATGAGTGTATTCAAAATCAAAGAGGCCATAGCGACATTCTCCACTACCACCTTTCTGCAAATCTTCAAGGAAAGCGTCATAAGCTGCGTCGCGAGGTCCGATGACTTCAACATCAATTTGCTTCTCGTCCTTTATGTAAAAGATTACATATCGATGCTTTTTGTCTTTTTTAATCTCTTCGTATGTTGTCTTACAAACATCGGCCACTGTTACTCCAGATGCCTAAATAGAAAAGACAAACAACTATTAATAACATTTAACAAACATTTCATTTGTTTCCCAATGTGTTTGCAACAAATTCTCTTTTGTAAAAAATTACAATTGATAATCAAGTGATTGATCAACACAGAGGGGAAATTTAAAGTAACATACGATCATGATTATCGCATAATATTATAAGTGAAACAAATGTAATAATGAGTCATAAGGCTGCGTAAGAGTCCAGTAAAAAAAAAAAAATTGTTTATAAAACTGAGGCATACTCGTTGAAATTGATACCGGTGACAAGAAATCTATAAGACTTTATACGATTTATGACACGTATTCTTGCTGCGTACGTAAGAACATGAAAGTTCATTTGAATTTAATACTTCGTGAGATTCTTTCACTTAAATGTTTCGACAATACATCGAAACAACCATAATTAGAAAATACGTGAGTTTGATGATAATTGCATTCGATATTTATCGAATATATTTCGTCGATTATCAAGCTATTGTTGATTTACCATTCGACAACCTTCTCCCGTCCCACCTCTTCCATGATAGTCACTCAGATAAGTAATATTTTTTTCTTTTGGCGTCGGTGCGAACACAGATTACGAGCGTCGGACATCTTTCTGCATTTGTGATGTTATAACGAAGTGGTTGACTGACGATGAGATTGTGCCAATATCGGTACTATCAGTATTACGTGCGTCATGTTAGTCTGGCCGTTTAAGCTTATTTCGCGGGTAAACGTAGGGGACGTACCGAAATAAAGTCTTCCCACGCACGAATTCGATGCTAAAAGAGATCCGACGTCCATTTCTAAAGTTATCCCTTGCTTTCAGGCACGTGCCACACGGTACAGAGGTCCGTTGGACTGCGTGTTTCTTCCACTCTGTGGAAATTTGTGAAATACGACCATGACATGACACCCGGACGTGAAATTCTGGCGAAGGGGGCAAAATAGGGGAAGATAAAGGAGAACGGAAGAGCGAGGAGGGGAGAGAAAGAGAAAAAGGGAGGTAACAACGCCACAAATGGGCGACACATGCAGAGTAAAAAGTGGGATAGTTATTTTTGAAACAGAACAGCCTTCAATCGGATAGGATTTAATGCTTTTGATTCGATGGTAATTGCGAAAAAAATTCTTGATTACCTTGCAACTAATGTAAGGAATCGTAACAAAAACAAACAGGTTCACGGCTAGAAACAAGAAATTGCAAGATTGCTAAAATTAGTCGGGTAAAACGTAATTCGATATTTGAAGATAAAGCAGATACTTTGCCAGACCAACTATACATACTTGCTAAAACTTCATCATTTATTTAAATTCAAAGCAATCTAAATTGCACGTAGAATGATGATCCAACTAAAATTATTTCATATTATTATTTATAACGATTACTGTACACACGCGTACAATTGAATAGAAATAAAGATATTTCTAAGAAATGATGTTTATAAAATTAATTTTTACCGATTGGTTCACTGTGTTCCATTGTAAATACCTTCTGTGTGAACGGTCAAAGCGGTTTGTCTATTCCAGTATAATGAAAGTAAGGGTCGACTGGGGTGCAAAAGGGTCCGACGAAAAGTGTAACGTGGTTGGAGGATAGCCAGTGGATGGAGGATGCAATTCCTCGGTCGATATTCTGGCACGACAGGGGATGCCGGTTAGGGCCAGACTTGGCTCCCTCTAGGGCGTTGTTGTAAACGTCTCTTGTGTGTGGCACAAGGTCAAACGGAAGATGATTCACCGATGAGGAGCGACATGGTCGGTTGTTTAACTGTCGAGTATACTACTCGTTTACACATACGTCTTCATATTATTTCACGATTCGACAATACTAAAAGAACAGTAAATATTCAAGTTCTATTATAAGAAAAGTGAAACATTACTCGAAGACGTGTAAAATCTATTGACAAGAATAAAGCATTCATTTACATGTTTAAATTCAGTTATCTTTACTTATTTTAGATTCTAATTGCCCCAATTCCATTGATATCCTATAATGATAGGGATCTTTGTGAAAATTTTAAATGCACGATGAAACTGTGTGATGAAATGAATTTAAATGGAGGAGGATAAATGGCTATTTCAAGCAACGATGCGAAAAAGAAAAGGTTAAACGATTATGAATAAGACACAAAGTAAAATTAATCATCGCATTGCTAAAAATAATCAGTTTATTCATCACGTTTACGAAGGCGTCAGTGAACTTTGAGAGTCACTGGCCTGCAAGAACCGACCTCCTTACGGGCTCATTGAATTTTTCCCTCTCTACCAGAACTCTTGTAGTTCACTGTCATCTTCAAAGCTAGATAGAGGGGAAGAGTTAGTTTCGCAAGGAATTCGGCTCTTCATTACCAAGGATACAGCGTTCATTGGTATCTAATATAAATATTTAAAATATATTCGGAGAATGGTACTTGTGCGTAGTTTCACATGGTTAATTTTCTGTCGCCAATTTGCCGGAAACGGAACGCAACTACTTAATGAATTCTTCCGGAACTTCGATAGATGCTGATAAATCATTTATAATATAAATCTTGAATTGTCAGAAGTTTGAAAATATTTACAAAGACACTGACAGTATTAATAAATTGTGACTTTTACTTCCGTATATAGAATGTGTAATTGTAATTGCAACGGATAAAACTTTACCTGAATGGAAATAGCAAATTAAAGTTATTTTGCTATACATGAAATTTATCTTTAAATAAATCATGAAGCACATTCATGCAAATAGACAATATTAATCGACATTTATATAAATAGAAAGTTTACACTGCGTATAGGTGTTTTTTCTTCCAAGCATACAGTAACAAAATAAATAAACAAAATGGTATAATATGAATGTAAAAAGATAAAATATACACAATAAAAAAGAACGGTTCCTGATCGATAACAGTATTCGATATTTCAACATCGCATGAGAAAATTTGTACAAATTTTCAGTCTGGCATAACCTATTCGTTATATAAATTTTTGGCAATTACGACGAAAATTCGAGAAACATTTAAGCCGAGGACACGAATTACACGTTGATAACAATACTTCAATATATTTTATAGCATCCAATGAGATCAACGTTAAATATATGAAACACAGAAAGGAACAAGTCCTTATTAATTTCAGCACCATTAAAATCGAGCAAAAAATTTTGTTTTTGCGTCGTTACTATATTTCGTTTTCGTTGAAAGAATTGTAATTGTTTAGATTTAAATAATTTGCACCGAATCGAAGCATGTAAAGACAAACTAAAAAGACCAGCCATAAGAAATGTTAGATTAACGAGAAAATATCTTTCTACTAGTGGAGCAAGCAATTCTTCGTTCCTTGTAATTAAATAGAACTGAGAAGGAATTCACAAAGATGATTGCCATGCGACAATACGTTACAACCTAACTGTGAGTTTTTACTCGTCAACGATGTACAATTTTTTTTTCCGTCACCGATCGCAGTTGGTCTTCGAGTCTTTAACTATCGTATCGTGAAACTGGAAATGAATCATCCGTTTCCTGGAAGCAAGGAATCGCGATTGGCACGTAAAAATACACCTACGTTACAGGTTTTAATGATGTTTGGTTTGTTGCTAGAAGCCAAAAAAAAATCAATAGCACAAATGATTTCAAGCGAATAGTTAAGAATAAATGATATCGGTCGAGTGGTGTGGCCAAAAGAAGAAAGCAGTCGTTCTCGCGGCGTATTGCCGGGACAGAAATGGCGACCGGCGCGTCTGCTTCGGCCATAACCACAAAATAAGCCGTGTACCGGTTTCCAAAAGATTGTTGACATTTTTTGGAAGTTGAGTGCATGCACAGTGTGATATTTACCATTTCGTGATGTAGTAGCCGGTGAGAAGAATCACGTAAACAAGCACTTTAACCTACACTTTCACGAGAGCCTCGATCTGGTGGAACTGGATAGATGCAGTGTCCAGTCGCGGGGGTCGCGGCTCACGAACGAACGGGAAGGGAGGCTCCTCTCTTAGCTAGCTTTCTGCGAATCCTGTATCCCTACGCCTGCGCGCGCGCACTCTGATTAACTTTGTCTTGATTGGCCGATCACTGGCTAACAAGAATTCGTAATTGATCAGGCGGATACTTTTTTCAGAAAATTCATTAACAAATTGTATATGCTGAACAATCTGTTCTTTTCTGCGGCAAATCAACAAATTAAATTCATGTAAACGTAAACTTTATTTTGAAACCGGTAGAATTGCTCCACAGTGCGCAAGCGTTGTGTGATGCGGTCGTGCCGGTCGTTTATATAGCATCTAATTTTATCTAGAATACGATGTTTTTTCAAATTACTCTCCAAATAAGAACAATTAATGAGTTCTAACAAAGTCACGGAATAACTAGAGAGATCATTCAAGAGACAATGATAAGTAATTAGATAAGATAGAAATTAATCATCGATGTGACCTGCCGGTCATATCAACCAATCATAATAAGGGACGTGGGGAAATTACCTTATATGGACAGCGGCGTGCAAGCGACCGCATACAGACGTCGCGCGTCGTTCTGTGCGCATGCTGCTTGCTTTGCGTGCGCACGACGCGCAATGTAGTTAATACTTTCAAAAGAATTTGAACTATAACATCAACTATATCAATTAGATGACGGCTTCGAGTAAATTTATCGTTAAAGATTAAAATATATTGTAAAAATTGAATAATCGATGATAAATTTTTTTGTTAAAAATATTATCTTGAGCAAGATATATTGTTTTTTTTAAATTATTAAGTAAATTAAATTTGATAAGGATACTTCAAGTAATGTGTTTGCCAGATATATTCATGTGACATTATATTTATGTTTGAGAAATAACATTATGATTATTTGAAGCACAAAAATTTATGAATTGTAATATTCATATAAATATATTTTCCGTGCATACCATATCTCGATATGTTAAAAACATAATTAAGTATAATATTTCTATATATTAAAATTGAAGAAATATGAGTACATTTATACGTATATATGTATATTATTATAATACTGTTCTCAATAATACAACTTAAAAGCATATGCAATACATTTAATGATTTTTTTTTTTTTTTTTTTTTTTGATACAATTAGTCTTAGATTATTGCTGTAATTTATAATACATAATATAATTAAAAGAATAAACAAGATTATACTATATAAACACAACAAATTATAAAAGAAATACTGAAGCAGTCTGTATTGAATTAAATAGTCAAAGACTTGAAATATATCTTAACATATTCTAACGTTATTAAATGTTTATCAAAATTGAATCTATGATTTATTTTGTTTAGTATAAAAACTGAGTATTATGAACATAGTATCTCAGTCTAGTTCTTAAAAAATTCTTTAAGACAAAAAAACATAATTTTAATAAAATTCCTTGTATTTAACAGAGAATTTAAGTATTATTATTTTTTCAAAACTGTAAATTATATGATTTTTATTACATAAATAAAAATGTAAATCTTTCTAAATTTTTTTAATAGTACTGTCTAGGTACATATATGTACAATTTTGGCAAAGTGGATAAAAGCAAACATGCTTTATTTTGATAGTGGATAGTAATGATTTTAATTCAGATTTGATACTTGTGTATATTATAGTTTATCAGCTTATATAATCATTTTTGAATTTCATAAATCATATCAAATAATTTTTGATATCCTGAATAAATCAAATTTTGCATACTAAGATGTATTTTGAAATGAAATATTCGTTTATTGCTTTCAATAAACCTACTTTCTAAATTAATGATTCATAATTATAAAAAAATGCACACTTTTTATTACAAAGTATCAAATTTTTATTTATTCAAGATATCCAGTTTATGATTGTGTACTAAATAGTAATATTGTGAGCAGAAGATGCAAAAAAAATTTAATTATTTTGAACATTAATAAAAATTAAATTACGATAATATACTTGTTAGATTAAAGTTAACAATAATCAGATTAACTAGACATAAGAAAAGTATACATCTAAAAATATTCTTTTATCATTATTTCGTACAGAAATATATATATTTATATGTATGTATATAAGAATTTAGTGATTTAAATTATTCGAATTGTTCAGAGAATATTTACAAATTTTTATAGTAAAACATATTTTGAAGCTTTTGTAGCCAAATTATATTGGCAGTAGTTTGTAATTACAGTGTTAAAACACTGCAGAGAATAAAAAAATATCTATACGTATGATAGTCTTCGTAATACCCTCACACAAAGCAATTAATCATCATAAACATAATTAATAGAAGCACATGTTCACTCATTTCAAATTTGTATAAATTTTTGTATTACGAAATTTTTTATATTACGAGGCTGCTTATTAATGTTTATTTTAACATATTGAACATAGGAAAATGTCACATATTGCTATATGCAAGTTATGATTAATGTATTTATGATCCATATCGATTTTTATTATTAAAATTATCTGTTAATATTTGTATTGCAATTCTTAATAATGAATTATTTTCTCTCTAAAAGGTAAATTTGCTTTTATTAAAAGATATCACTGAAAAACTGAAACAATCGTGAAATCCTAAAATGATTCAAATCATAATACTTTTTTTAAGTACTTATTAATTGTATTCTTTAAAAAACAGAAATATTTTAACGAACAATAAAAGTGCATCCGTTAAGAATACCATGTATGATTCTACAATAAAATCATATGGTAGAAACCACCTATATCCTTTCTAACAACGAGGAATTATTATTTATAACAAAAAAAGGAATATTATATGAGAACTATATATAAACTAGTTTCTCAGTCAACCGTTACAAGATTTCGTCCTTATTTTTAGAATTAATCAGATATCATCAAGGATTGATTTTTTTTTTTACTTCTAAAGGCAACAAATCGTTAGATTAGTCCTCGTTTTTTCTTATAATCTTCCAAATTTAAAGATCGTCGAGGTCCAGTATCTTTGATGTTACTAATGGGTTTCGGCAATACACTAACAGGATTATCTAAAAAAAATTAGAAATACCATGTTTATATAATAAAAAATATAACAAATGCTTAAAATTTTTATTCAGAATAAATATAAAATTAATTTTTATAAAAACTTACTTGGAATTGGTACTTCTAAGTCTATTGTGATATCAAAATCATGAGCATTAAATAAATCTTCAGTACTTTGTTTCTTTTTTGTTTCTTGGCCATTTTCTTTTTCACATACTGCTACTGCTTCAGTTTGTTGAGGACTTGTTTTACCAAGGTCTGGAACAGTAGATGATACTTCGTCATCTTCTGGTTTGAAAACCATTCTTGGTTTTGTACTTCGTCTAGTGAATGGATCATCTACCTTTTTACCCTTATTGGCTTTAATCTCTTCCTATTACATAAAAAGCACATAATAGATTAATAATATACTTTAATAATTTTTATATTCTATAGTATGTTATTAATTTACCATTATTGCTTTTTCAGCTTCTTCAACATTCTTTTTTCGGTTACGATCATTAATGTATGATATGCTAGATATCGTTGCAGTGCGCATTTTATCAAGTTCAGATGCACGTTCCTCAAGTTCACTCAATTCTTGATTAAGCCGACTAGCAGTTTCGTCATCTCCTCTACAATTAGCTGCATCCCTTTCGCGCATAAGTTGTGCCTTTTTCATTGCATAATTATATGGATTTTGTTTAAATCTTTCCTTTTCTCGTACTATTTTTTCTATATCTTCTTCTTTGAATTCATATACTAAAGCCTCTTTGATGTCTTTTAATTTTTGTTCAACTTCTTCAAAAGTTGGCATTGATATTCCTTGCAAAGCACAAGTTTCTTTCCATTTAAGAAATTCAGATTCAGTAAACTCTTGATTCGACACAAATTCTAATCTGAAGACACGTTCTTGAGCTCCGTGTCTTAGTTTCAATCCTTTGTTCGTTCTTGTCCCACCAAGTTGATAGATTTTTCCTGTTTCACAGACACCGCTAATTTCAGCTACTCTGTATACTGGTTTTCCGTTATTGTTTCCAATGCCAATTCTAACAAAACAACCTTGTACCACTCTATCAAAGAAAGGTAGATGTACAAATCTTTCCATCTTATGACGAGATAATCTAATTTTATTGAGATCATCCTTAGAATTAACATATATTGGCTTTTTCGGTTTAGCTTTATTACTGGTAATAGATCTGCAAAATGATATATTCGATTAGCATTAATATCATTAACTAATGTTATCTAATGTTTTTAAGAAAAGAATTTGGCTTTTTAATCTAACTTTTTATCAGCATCAGAATCAGTATCTCTACTGTCACTTGAAGATGATCTGCGAGTAGATGATGGTTTAGCAATTTCTTCTTCTTCACCACTATCTGATGAACCACTATCATCAGAATAAATATCAGATGCTTTAAGTTTAGTTTTGTTTGCCCCTCCTTTGTGGTCATCTTCTAATTCTTCTTCTTCAATATCTTTTGACTGCTGTTGCTGTTGTTCTATTCTTTGTTTCTCTTTCTCTTCTAAATAAAAAAAGAGAAAAATAAAATAATTAATAATTCTAATTACTTTTTAATTCATTTATTTTATATTAATCTTTGTATTCAATACTTTACCCCTTTCTTTCTTCTCTTCTCTTCTTGCTTTAAGAAGAGACATTGCATGGAATTTTTTATCTTGTTTTTCTTCTATTGTCTTTTTACGATCTTTACTTCGTTCTTTAGGATCTGGTGCTCTATCAACTTTCTTTTCTTCTGCACTCTTTTCTTTCTTTCTTGATTCTTTTTGCTTTTTTAATTCTTGTTTCTTGGCCATTCTCAATTTCTTTTCAATCTCAAATCTTGTTTTCATGATTTCACGTTGTTCAATACGTTTGAAGATTTCTTGTTCACGTTCTTTTTCTGTCATTTGAGCAAGTCTTGCTTGATCTTCAGCATCTCCCATTAATTTATCATCATAGCCATCATTAAATTCTTCTTGGCTAGAATCAGAAACACTAGCATCTGAGTCTGAAACCTCACCTAAAAATAAGAAATTACTCTGTTATACAATTATAAAATAATTTTACAAAATATCATTATTAGTATTAATTTTACATGTATTATTACCTTCTTCTGGTTCAGAGACTTTTTCAGGTTCTTTTTCACTGGCACTTTCTTCGCTACTAGACTTTGTCACCTTACGTTTATTTCTTTTACTTGGCACCTTCTTCTTTTTATTTTTCCCAGTTTTTGCACCCCAATCATCATCTGAATCTGATGTGTCTGAATCATTTTTATTGTCTTTCTTGATAGTGCCAGTTTCTTCATTAGAAGGAGATTCATCTTGGGCTTTGCCTTTCTTTTTCTTGGCAAGAGATAATAAGTCCTGATACATATAAATTAAAAATCAGAATTCAATTGTTTTTAAGAGAGATAAATTTGTTAAATATATGATACACAAAATATTTATGATTACCGACATATATACGTATATTTTCTCTTACTTAAATTTAAAATAGCAAATTTCTGTAATTTAAAAATCAAATTAAATTCAAACTTAAACGCATACTATTTAGCAGGTTATGTAAATTTCGCTTGTACATTCCTTTCGAACTACATTTTAAAAACGTGGAACGTGATTTAAGACAAAGAACACTACTAGGAAATTCAATGTGTCAAATCTTCTACGTTAGAAGCTAACTATAAGTATAAAACAGAAGATATACAATACGAGATTTTTATGTAAGGTTATATCATTTACATTATCCAAATCCGATCCACTTTCTGATGCACTGCCGGTAGTATCAGAATCTATAAGAGCCTGGTTCTTTCTCTTTGGCATTATCACGAGAATACGTAAACGGAGATTGTGAAAATTGCACGCCCTCCTAACACGGATAAATCTAACGTCATGCAAGGTACACTAAACTAGGAAGACCGCGTAGAACCGAAGACGTTAAACATCAACGTTCATACAGTGGTACGCCGTTCGTTTCATCGACCTAGTTTTACACCGGACCAATAATATTGTGTCGTACCATGTGCAATTACTATATGTTTACTTATATAAAAAAGATCGTTACCATAATATTTCTTTTACGTAATAAACAATTATTCGTATTCCTGTAATGATTTCGCAAGTATAATAATTTTTTTGCGTAGCCAATCGAAAATTTGAACGAGGTCTTTGTCCGTTCTTCAATGCCAAAGCGTGCTGTTCATGGTCGTATAATTGTGTTCTAAACATTTAAAATGAATTAAAACTTCTAAATAATTGAATCTTGATAAACCAATGAGTTGAATAACTTTTCAAAATTAAACGAACAAGTATAGTTCAATTTTATAAATTGTGCCGATATTTGTTAACTATAAAATTTTAAATAATTTCTTCTATTGTAATCGACATTCATACTCAATGTCAATATATTTTTTTTGTTAGTAATAAATTTCAATTATTTTATATGATTATTTAGAAATGAATTTGATCGATGTTTCTTTTCCGTTTTACAAAGTTTCTTCAAATCGAATTTTCTAATGCTTGTAGTTTATACGCAGCACGTTTAATTTTCCATTGGTAACGAGTCGTATGATAATTCAGTTTGGTGACATTTCCTTCCGTACATTGGTAATTATGAATGTTGACACTTTTTGCCGTCAATGGCGTATGATAGACGCAAGTGTGTCGATGTGTCAGATAAATTTTATACTATATCGGATTTTATATGACGTTACAGTTAAGCAGTGAAATGTAACTATAGGAGTGGCATTTATAAATTAATTGTAATAGATAGTAGTGTCGTAGAGAACGTGACCATTCTAATTACGGATGTTTAAACTTGGAATGTTCAATGTCTGTGAATATGGAAGTAGAAAAGAACACATCCAAAGAGGTTGACACTCAACTTTCGGCCAGTGATTCGATGGAATTTAATGATGATATTCAAAAAGACAACGAAGATATCAAAGACGTCGAAGATTCATTGTCTTCTCTTAAAAATGTTACGATTGATAACGAGAAACGTGACGATACTATTATATACGCACAATTTGAGAATTCTCAGATTTACGCGAAAGATGCAGAGGATAATCTAGTGTCGACGAACAACGAGGAAGAAGAAAAAAGCGATGAAGATAAAGAGAAGGAATTATCACAGGATGAAAAGGTTTTAAAGAATGATTGCAAGACTGAACAAACAGAAGTAACATCAGAAAATTCTACTAATGATTATGTGTCTCAAGCTCCATTAGCTTTCACAATTGATTTTGGCAATAAGGAAGTTGATACAACTAAATATCAAAATTTGTTTGAAAGATATAATGCTAGACACAAAAGAAATTTGTCCACATCTAAAGTAGGTACATTTAAAACACGTAAGATTGAATTACATTAAAGTTTATATTGTGGATAATGTTTATATTGTGGATGATATAAGAAAAATATATAATACAGATAAAGTAAAATTGATGTTACTAAGACTGAAATTAAATTTTTAGGTAGAAATAAATACAAAAAAGCCTGGTACTTTAATTTCTTCAAATTTCACACAAAAACAAAAAGTATCTAGTACACATTCTGAAGGTTATTTTAGTAGTGAGGATGACACAAAACGGAAAACAGATCAATTGTCAGAGAAACTGAAACAACTAGGTAATCCAATTCTCTTTCCTTTAAAATTACGTTCAAATATTGAAAAATTAAATTTCTATCAAATTTTATGTTTTTGAAAATTATGTTCTCTAAATATGTTATATTAGTTATGAAAATAAATAATTTCCTTTATAACTTTTTGCTTTAATAATAATATTTAAGGCAAGTATTATTAATTATTAGTGTAATTTAATAATTTCGTGTAATATAAACATGTGTTCATTATGTAATGTTTAATATGTTTAAAGTTTTGCAATGATTGAAAAACAATTCCTTTTGAATAGCAATGTATATAATGGAAGACTATATTTGTAATGTATGAGTCATGATGAAATCATCTTTACTATGCTTTTTAATATTCTTCTCAAGTACTTTCAATATATTCACAATATGTAGGTTGGCAACATTAACGATTGTAATATTACTTATGATATTAAAAAATTGTATTGTCATGTCAGAAAATATTAATTATCTATAAATTCTAATATTAATATTGTTTTCCACATTTCCATTATTTTGCAGTCTTGATTTATTATTGAATATAATCTATTTTTAGGTTCAAAATCATTTTTAAAACCATTGCATATCTTACAAAAATCTGAGTCTAATATAAAAGTATCAAATTTTCAAAATAAACAAGACACAATGAGTAAATCTTTTGAACAATCAAAACAACCTAAACTTCCTTATAAAAATCTTTCTTTAGAACTTGGTTATACAGAGAAAACAAATGCAACATCATATTGGGTACCACAAAAGTCTGCTACTATAAATGATTTAAGTAGAATTCAATTGAACAATTATGATGATGATGCTGAAAAATTGTATACAAAGAATATTGATCAAGACGATGAATATGAACATTCATCTGATAATATATCTGATAAAGTGTCTAACATAAATTATGTTAGAAGTAAAACTATAAATATCAAAGAGTCCAATTTATCTAGTGTCAGTTATACAATGGAAGTAAATCCAGATGATTTAAATGAAACAAATATAGATGTTTTCAATGTAAGTAATATTGATGGAGGATCAGATGGAGCAGTTAGTGAAGCAGGAACATATACAATTCATAAAGATTATACAGATGAGGAAAAAGCAAGAATGGATATTGATAAGGTATTTAATGTTGGTGTTTTAACTGAAGAAGACAACAGTGAAGCATGTATTCATAGTTTTAAAGTAAGTTAATTATTCATTTATTATGATAAGTATTCTTTTATGTATTTAAAGTATTTCTTTTATTTATTTAAAATATTTTTTATTTCAAAGATGAGTGTTTCAAGAGATAACAATACGTGGATATCAGAATGGGCCACTCAAGTAGCAGAACATAATTCGTTACCACCAGCAATTGGTGGATCAACTGGTCGTACGCCTCCATTAAGTCCATCCAAAATACCATCTCCTATTCATAGCAGATCACAACGACTCGCTCGTAGCCGCAATGTATGAAATATTTATTAATATTAATGTAGTAATGATACATGCAGTAATGATACATATACGTAACAAACATTTTTAGGAACAAAGTGACAGCAGTTTAGATGTGGAATCATATTTACGAATAAAAGAGAGGATTGGTTTAATTTCAAATCAACATACACTTATTGATTCTGGTGGAGAATCAGATGATGATACCAGTAATAGTTATAATACACCACCACAAAGTTCACAAAGAACACCAATACATGGGGTTTTAACCAGGAGAGGAAGTTTATCTGAATCTCTTTTTAGGAGAATTAACACCAATGAAAATAGGAGAAGTATTCGTAAATATATAAGTCCAAATAAATCAAAGACTGAAGACACAAATGCTGAATTAAGTAGTCCGTCCAAAGAGTTTACTTCCCTTCATTTAGGAAGACGAAGTAGTTCCTTGGACAGGTAAAGAAATTTTTATTTATATAAAAAAATATAATTTAAACTATTTTTACAATCTGATGTTTTATAGGAGAGACTATACATCTAATACAACGGAATGTAATACGTCCAAAAGAAATAGTACGAAATATCAAGATGATGAAATTAAATACTCAAATAGTCCAGTTTTAAATCGTCTAAGACCGTCTACACCAAAATTAACAAACAGTCCAATTGTAACTCGTAAGACAGCCACTAAAATTCTAAATTCACCAGTATTGGAAAGAACTAAACATTTGACAAAATCTTCTCCACAAGCTAAAAATATTGGATACTTTACATGCGTTGAAAATAGGTATAAATAAGGAATAAATATTGAGAGCTTTCATTTATATATTTATATATATTATATTATTCTAATTGTTGTCCTTGTTTTAGTCCTTATATGTTAAGAAAATCGAATAGTACTGCAACTTATCACGAAGAAAATGTTGACTTTAATACGATAACAGACAGTGTTCTTCAAAATAGTCCAAATGTTAAACGTAATTTAAATATCCAAAGATCATGTAGCAATGCAAATATTAGAAATATAAAATCACAAAGCCAGTCATCCCGTCGTAGTAGCTTTAATAGTAGTGATATTGATAAAGCATCTTTACCAGGAAGATATCTTGCTGCTTCTGACAGTAGCAGTGAAACTGGTGAACAACAAGCAAAATCTTCATTAGGTTCAATTTCTTCTGGAATTAAATTAAATCGAGCTTTTAGTATAAGAAGAGCAAGGTACTTAAGAAATAATACATTGAAAGTAATACTGATATGTATATTTATTATTATACTTCATAATGTCTAGATTAAATTGTGAATCTGATACAACCCCAAATACAACTCCTGAAGAAAGACGTAGAAGAGCACAAAGTGAAGTGAAGTCAGCATCTTTAAATAAACAGCAAAATTATCATCGAAGTCGTACAAGTAATGCGAATGTACATAATAAAGAATCTTTAAAAAAATCAGAATCTATAAAACCAAGAGCTGCATCTATATCAAGAACTGATAGTACAAGACTTAGTACGAGATCATCTCATGTAAGTATTTTAAATTTATAAATATTTTACTCTTCATATTTCATTTTAGTTCTTTAAAATTTTTTAAAATTATTGATTTGATGTAATTGTATAATTAATAGTTATTTAAAATATTTTCTTAGCATGTTCCTACTACACAACGACCTACTCAAACAATAAGTAAAGATCAGAAAAAATCTGGTAGAAGCAATTCAACATTGACATCAAAAGAAGTAGAATTTCAAAATTGGAAAAGAAGAAAAAGTTATGATCCAATGAAAGCAGCTGCTGAAGGTAGAAAAAAATTGATAGACAATTCAAAAAAACACCACAGCACAGAAGATAGTTCTGGAAAGTAGGTATCTATTGAAAGCATGATGTTGCAAATATTTCCAGAATGTAATTTTGTTTTATTTTAATTTGAACAATATATTTTTAGCCATGATAATTCTGTATTACGGTCGGCAAGTTTTCATGGAACAGGTGGTACTCTTTCATTAGCTAATGAATGGTCTGACAACGAATTAAGTATTGTTAAGAATGACAATCAAGTACCTCCACCATGCAGTCCGCAATTGGTAAATATATATATATAAATAGTTTTTTAATGAAATTTGTATTTGCTCTAAACAGTTACTTAATTTTTTGTATACAGGAAAGTGATAGTGATGTAGAAACATCATATTATTTACAAACAACACAAAATGTAATGTCAGCTATGTCTGCTCGTATTACGGTTTGTCATTCATCAGCTTTAATGGATTCGGATAATGACAGCGATGAAGATACTAGTCATAGTTTACACAAAAGTATATCAAAAACATTACACCAAGCTAGTGACACAGAGAGCAGTGATGATCGTCATCCTAATGCACAGAATGCTATTTCAAATACTAAATATAATCGAGCGTTTAGGTAAAAGTTTATAGATATAATTAATATGTATTATCATTACGCATATTTTAAAACTACACTTGCAGTTTACGTAGAGCAAGATTAGACGTGCAACCTACAAAATTACCAGGAAATATAAATAAGAATAAATCGGGCACGTCGGATACTCGAAAATCTGAATCTTTTACAAGCATCAGTAGGACTGACTCTGGACGTTTTAGTATGAGGTCAAATAGAACTACGACTATTGTATGTATCTTTTAGATAAGACATGTTCGTACATATAACACACGTAAGACAATTTTTACATTTTTGAGTGTTCTATGTCATAGGGACCTAAAATAAAACCAAAAGAAATGAAAAAGCCCGCTACGCCGAATGCAAGAGAAGTCGAAATGCAAAATTGGAAACGTCGTAAAAGTTATGATCCTATGAAAGCAGCAATGGAAGGGAGAAGGAAAGCAGGCTTGGCTAAGAAAAATACAAATGCCAATCTTTCTCCGAGGTAAGCAATTGTTTATTCTTTTTTTAAACCTAAAATCATATGAAAATATTTTGTTATTCAGTTAATATAAAAAGTAATTATTTCATTGTGTTGGTAGGACCGATAGCGATCGATAATCTAATGATAGAGACCATCGGTACAAGCAAGTGGTACGAAAATGACTTGTTTGATTTTGCAATGTAGATTTTTTTAAGAGATACACTAAAAAATGTAACCTCAACATATTTTTTCGTAACCTCTTAAGAAAATTTTATTGCAATAATGCTGCTTTTTGATATTGTTTATTGTTTATATTAATCCATCGCCAATGCATTATTAATCTGTGAATACTATGGATATGTCAATTTAATATAGAAATATAATGTTTTAATTTATAAGAAAAATTACAAAAATCCATATTATTCATTGTTTATTTCATGACATCATTCCATGATTGTTTTTTAGTGGACAATTGCAAAAATAATGGTTACTTTTTACTAAAATGAAATTATTTATATATAAGATAGTTAGAAAGTAAGCCATAATACATATGTATTTCTCTTATGATGAGTGTGCAGGTCAGAAATTTCAGAATAGTTTGTTGTGGCTTATTAATGCAATATACAGCTAGATTAATGTGTTAATTATTACTTTGTTTTACTTGCATGATTTAAGAAAGAACCAAGCATATCAAAACATTTTTGTCTGTGCACAATTTCTCCTAATATTTCTTATTTATATCAAATATTTATATCATAATTTGTGAGTGATAAAATTAAGAGGAAAAAAGGTTATGAAAGAATTATATTGATAAAATAACTTTTATAAAAATTTTTGTGGAAATTTCCAATTACAATTTTTACAGTATCTTACATTATATAGGTATAACGCACCAGCATGTTAAATATATACAACAGTATAATTTACTGGTTCTTTCTTCATATGTTATAAATAGAAATAACATTATTTATTTTGTTTTTAGCAATGTTGCAAGATCACGCAGTTTTCATGGCTCATCAGGATTTGGAATTAGTGATTGTAGTGACGAAGAATTGGTTATATCTGCAGATGAAGTTGCACTTTATTAAAGGTCAAGTCATTAATGATATTATATAAACGAACTTAATTATAAAAATTTCAACTATATTGATGTATATAAAGACTAAAAGAGAGAGAATCCATTCTCACAGAATTGCTCTATGAATAGTTCTATACATTATAGATTATATGATCTGAAGGAGAATGTTAAGAAAATCTTTTCTATATTAAAAAATTCTATTTTTTGCAACTTTTAACGTTAAGAATCTATAGATCTATATGACTATTGATACTATTCTAAGTTGAAGTATTACTGTTCAACAAAATTGATGCCTACTTTCATAATATTTATGTGGAAACATTCTCATACTCTGATTTTTTTTGTTGTAATATAAATTTCGACTATGTCCTAGAATATATTGTGTTTCCGAGGAAAATATTTACGAATGTGTTGAAATTTTGGAATTTGTGGTGAAAAATATCGTAGTTCCAATCTTAGGGCCTAACAATAATAAATATTAAATAGAAACAGAATTATATACATAATTGGACCAATCATATAACGGTGTAAAGATTAATATGTTTGCATCTAAGATTCAATATGTTAATTATTTTTTATTGTAGTAAATATCCTCTTGAATTTGTAAACATAATTTTCAATGATATTATGTGCTCTCTAGTTTATTTTAATTAAGTTTTATGCATTATTGGAAACAACATGTATCATTACAGATACTACTAAATTATTAGTTTTTGATAAATATAAAATTATTCATACTGCTCGAAAAATAAAAAAAGACTTTATTAATTAATATATATGAGTTCTCTGTGTTTCAAAAATATTGACATATGCAAAAAGAAAAAGAAGAAAAAAAAATACTATTTGCTCTGAAAAGGTGCAATGAATTATTATAATTTTTACATTCAATAATTCAATAATTAATGTGATCACAATATGCTTTAAGATAATAGTATATATTAAAGTATTATGTTTTATTATTGATCAACTTGATTGTGTGTTTGCATTAATTATGTATATACTAGCTGATTATTTAAACTAATTATTAAAACAAATATATCTTGCATATTCGCTTAATAAAATTAATATGATCAATGCGTTGATCTGTATAATCTAGAAATGGTATTAAGCTCATTAATGTACACTGATAATACCGTCTAAGAAAATTTTTAATATGTACTTGTTCAAAAGTTTATATTACTTGATTGCTTGCAGCTTGTTGCTTGGTTATAAATTTACTAGCCATTTCAAATTTTTACAATTTTATGTAATTTTTCTAGTTAAAATTAATTGTATTGTATTTTTACTGCATAATTTTTTTTTAAATAAATTTTATTTCTTTTGTTTAAAAACTTAAAATTCAATAAATAATTTTAAAAAGTATGTATGCTGGCTATTTAGAATTTTCTAGAAATTGCGTATTATTTTTAAAAAAATATGCAGTAAAACATTAAAGTTCATGATTGATTTAGAACAAGAAAATCATTGTTTAATGAAATGTAACATTTATTTTTATTGAAAATTAGTTTCCATAGTTTTATTAACATTATTACCATTGTCAAAATGCACTTTGTTTGTTGTACATTTTATTTTTAATAATCTAACAAGGTGCTAATTATAAGATTTGTTTCACTCAGTTTTCTATTCTTTATCTCATTTATCTCTAAAATCATAAAATGTTAAATAATTTATAATGCGAACGAATATGAAGTAAATGTAATTCCGCAGTATATCTTTCATATACACGCATATAATGACGTTAAATCTTCGTGTACAATGAACTCTTCCAAAAATGGTGCAAAATAATTTTACGTTACGAAATTATATGTTATATTATACAAATTTTTAATAACATGTTATTATAAATATCTATAGTGATGCATGTGCATAGTATCATGACATCTTCTTTTAAGATGGATACCTTTTTTCATGTTCTTCCTTTAAATAAAAGTGGGCTTCCATAGTGAAGATCATTGTTATTTCACAAAACTGCTACATTATTTTTTATATAAAGCTAATCTTTTGTTATTTGATTTTATATAAAGCGAGAATAATATTTCATTATTTACTTTATAATTTGAACTTTATAACTTTGATATATAAAAAAGAATAGATAGCAAAAATTCTCTCTTTTGATGACAATACATATACATATGTATATACTAGTATCTCATATACACCTAATTTAGATACAACTTTGTAGAAATTTATATTTTGTTAATTTCAGTTTATGATAATAGTTTCCTTATTAGATAGATAGTATATTATATAAATTCTTCAAAGTATTTTGTTAGTAGAACATGTATACATATATATTCGTACAATAATAGCAAATATGATATATTTTTCTATTTTTAGTAATCAGCGACAGATATAAGTTTGATTCTGTTGTTAATTATTTTGTATAATTTTTAAAATATGCATCACTCGTTTCTTGCAATGTACGCGTTGCCTATAATGTAATAAATAGTAATTAATGACTTAAAATGTACTACAGGATATCTTGATATGTTTGATAAGTATACAATAATAAATACTGGAAGAATAATGTACTTAGCTATTCATGAAAAAATGTTTTAATTATTTATTTTTCTATCTCATCTTAATGATACAAAAAATTTCATATATTTAATATTCCTTTCGTCTATAGTCAAATTGAAAATTTAAAAATATCGATATTACAGAACTGACTATTATAGTACGTACGTTGAGTTGATGATGGCGCTTATGATAAGAATTATGAACCATAGACGAATACGTGATGTCACAACTCATTCATTCCCACTGACTTATACGCACCATACGAGGATTAGTGGTACTACTTCGTGACGCGACTTTATGAATTGATGAACTACGTAATTTTAATATTTTAGATAAACAGAAAATACAAAAAGATCAACTGTAATCTGTAATCTTTCTTGTAACAAAGTGAAGTCAAGCCTAGAATAAATATAAATATGTAGACATTATTTATTCACAAACCTTCTCCTTCACCTCTCTACTATTCCCTATTTTGTCACTCATACCTTATTCCTTACTATATAATACACTACATAAATTTTGCTGGCAACACCGAGCGTCTGCTTAAGAACTCACGTGCGCCAAGGAAGTTTGAAATGATTGTACGAGTGTATGAAATGTTTTGTTAAATTAATTTTTGTATACATCATAATTATTAAAAAATTAGAAAGATGAGCATGAAAATATCTTACAGAGTAAGTATATATAAAAGGAAATTTGCCTGATATTCACATAACCTTAAATATTTATACATTTAGTGTCATAAGATTAACCTTAATTTAAATTTAATAAAAATTTTTAATAAAATTTAATAAAAATTTTATATAAATTTGTACGTTTCAGGCAAATATAAATGATTTTTCAAATCATTCTGATAATTCATCGCTTGAAAACGATGGCTATTCTAATGATGAAATTGATCAAAGCAAAGACTATGAAGATGAAAATGAAGAAAATGAAGAAAATGAAGAAAATGAAGAAAATGAAGAAAGTGAAGAAAATGTAGAAAATGAAGAAAGTGAAGAAAATGTAGAGAATGAAGAAAGTGAAGAAAATGTAGAAAATGAAGAAAATGTAGAAAATGAAAGTGAAGAAGAAGAGAAAGTTGAAAATATTGTTAAAAGAGAAAATTTTCATTTAATATCTGATAAAAAAAGAAGAAAAGTTACTGATGATCTCACAGATACTTCATTGAAGAAGAAAAGGAAATTAGACAAAGATTTATATAAACCACCAACTGTTGATGAATTAAATCAACTTAGGGAAACAGAAAATTTATTTCACTCAAACTTATTCAGATTACAAATAGAAGAAATGTTAAATGAAGTTAGACTTAAAGATAAATACAAAAAATTATTTGACATTTGGTTCAAAAAGTTGAAGGAGACTATTGAATCTATAAGGGAAACAGAAGAATATCAAGTATGTAAATTTAAACAAAATATTTTTAAATAAAAATTTTATACAATAATAACTACAATAAATTATAGCTTTCAGATGATAAACTAGGGAAAAAGTTAAATGTACATATTCCAATGTTTGATGTACCAAAAGAAACAAAAGGAGTATTTAAATTCCTTAAGCCAACAGATATTGCTATTATAGGATCTTACATGTTTGATGCTGCAATCGGTGCAAATATTGTTGTAGATATAATGGTGGAAATGCCTGCCAAAATATTCCAAAATCAAGATTACCAAAATTATAGGTATATAAAAAAGAAAATGATATATTTGGCATACATAGCATCTAATATCACAGATGATATTACTGAGAGCAAAACGTTTATGAATGATACTTTAAAACCAGTTTTAAAAATTGTACCAAGTGGAAAGTTAGGTACTAAAATTAATGTATTGATACATGCATCAGCTGAAGAAGCAAGTTTTAAATTAAGTAGGTTTTTACCAGAAAAGAATAATGTTAGACCTGAATGGTTTTTTGGAGACATCAAAAATAGTATGTTATTTTTTTCTCTTATAGTGTATAATGATATTTTTTATTATACAATAATGATATTTTTATAATTACAGTTACAGAAAATTTTCCACCAACACCACATTACAATTCTATAATTCTTCATGATTTAACTATGAAAATACATGCAGAAAATATGAAAGTAATAAAAGAATATCCCAATTTAAGAGATGGTATTATTTTACTAAAGATATGGTTAATTCAACGTGAATTGGTAAAAGGTTATACAGCTTTTAGTGGATACATAATAACAATGATTGTTTTATACTTATTGTCTATTAAGAAGTTAAATACATTTATGAGCAGCTATCAAATAGTTAGGAATGTATGGAGCTATTTAAGTATGTACTATTTTTGATTTGTATATTTATATATTGATTGATTGATAGATATTTTTGTTACTATTAATTGCCTATTTTAACAGTACAGACTAATTGGTGTGAATCTGGAATCACCATGAATCAAAGTGAAGATAGTAAAAATAGAGTTTTAAGTTATCACAAATATTATGATTGTGTATTTTTGGATAACACTAGTTATTACAATATTACTACCCATGTGTCCAAAGCTACATATAAATGGGTACAAAAAGAAGCAGAACTTTGCTTAAGTCATTTGGACAGTACACATGCGAACAGTTTCCAATCACTTTTTATGAGAAAAGTACCATTTTATATGGCATTTGATCATTTTATACGGTAATTATTTTTGCAATTTATAAAAAACCATTAATTGATTAATGATAAAATTTTAAAAATTTATAGGTTTGAGGATACTGAAATGTTAAAAATTCTAGTAAATATTAATTCAAGTGATGAAGATAAGTTAGATTATGGTCCCAATTATCGGGCTCAAGCGATAAAAATTATTTCTAACATTCTCAAAAAAGGATTGACAAATAGAGTGCATCAAATTTGTGTATTACCAAATGAAAGTTCAGAATGGAAATACACCGAGAATAATTGTAACGATATTGGGGAGATTTTTATTGGATTAGAATTAAATCCAGAGTATTGCTTTAATATTGTTGATAAAGGACCTGAAGCAAATTTACCAGAGGTATGTCTAAGCTTCTTAGATATAATCAAAAGTTATTTATAGAATTTATAGTAACTATAAATTATTATTATTATTATATATTTCAGGCCATTGAATTTAGAAAATTTTGGGGCAAAAAATCAGAATTACGACGATTTCAAGATGGGACTATTCGAGAAGCAGTGGTTTGGTCGAAAGGCAAAACATTGTCAGGAAAAAGATTAATATGTAAAAAGATTGCAACATTTCTGCTGAAAAAAAAATTAAATTTACTTAAAAATAAATTTATATACATTGCTGATGAAGTGGAAGAACTTTTAAAATTGCGAAAGGTAACTAGTTTTAGCAATTTTTATTTGTAAAAATATTTTTTTGTAAAAAAAAATGTTTAGGTAAAAATATTTTTTTGTAAAAAAAAATATTTAGGTAAAAATAACACATTTCGCTTATGGAACGGGAGAAGAAGCGGCACTGAGAGTAATAAATGTATTTAATTGTCTCGAGAAAGATTTAATGTCTCTTACTGACATTCCTTTATCAATACATGGGGTTCAAGGATCTAGCGCCGTTTTTCGATATACAGATGTTTTTCCACCACTTGCAACTGTTTATCGACCTGATGATAAACTTATTAAGAAACATAAAAAAAATTTGATTTTATCAAAAAGAATAACTACTTCACCTAGATATGTTTGTCCACTTGATGTAAGCTTACAATTATCAACTAGTGGAAAATGGCCAGATGAATTGGAAGCTTTTAGACATACAAAAGCTGCTTTTCATATACAAATTGCAGAATGTCTCAGAAAACAATACAAGTTGACAGTAAAAGCCCACTTTCCATATGTTGATGTATATAAGGTTATTATTTTTCATTGATATTTTTCAATAAGATAAAAATAATATTTAACATACACAATTTATCAAAAAATATTTTTTTTTATTAGGATGGATTTGTATTTCGATTAAGAGTAGCCCATCAAAAAGAAATTGGTTGCTTGAAACATCAAGTAACCGAGGATGGAGTTATACAATATAAGGATAATGAAAAATCAATTGAATTAGAAAATAAGCTGTTTGAATTACCGAAGTTAACCAGTGCTTTACATGGGTAAGATTGATTTATCTTAAAAGTTCTTATACCTCTACTTAATATGGTATTATTTGTATTTGGTAGCTTGCATACTCAACAACCATCATTTGGACCTACATGTTGTTTAGCAAAACGCTGGTTATCTGCTCAATTACTAGATAATTCTCATATACCAGATGTAGTAGTTGAACTACTTGTAGCTTCAATGTATTTAACGCCTGCACCGTACAGACCATCTCAAATGCCACAAGTTGCATTTTTGAGACTTTTAGAAAGTTTTGCTAGGAGTCATTGGAATACTGATCCGGTTATAGTAAATTTCAACAGTGAAATGTCTAGTAAGTATTTATAACAATAAGTTGATACATCAGGAACTATTAATATATTATTTTTATATATTTATATTTTTTTCATTATATAGAAGAAGAAATAATTGCTGTTGAAACGCTTTTTGGATCATCTCGTGATTCTTTACCACCTCTCTTTATTTCTACTCCTTATGATCAACAAAGATCATTATGGACTAAAAAAGCACCATCTATTCTAATTTTAAATCGCATTACAATGTTGGCTAAACAATCTCTAAAATTGTATGAAGATCAACTTTTTACAAAAGTTTTGTTAGATTTCAAAACCTTATTCAGGCCGCCAATTACAGAATATGATTGTTTAATATATTTAAAGCCACTTATGGTTCCTAGAAGATTACAAGCAGTTGATGTTAATGATGAAGAACCAATTGTTGAGTGGCATCCATATAAACGACACTCGGCCCAAAAGGTACCAATTGTGGGTTTTGATCCTGTACAACTTTTCCTACAAGAGCTTAGGGTAAGTTTTTTGGTGATATCCGTATAATATTTATTTTATTTTTTAATATGTTACTAATATTTTTTCTTTCACATTTCTCTTTAGAATGGTTATGACGAATTTGCCTTGTTTTTCCACGACACTTACGGTGGTACAATAATTGGGGTTTTATTTAAACCTTCCGCACTAGGAATTAAGGAGTTTAAAGTATCAAATATCGGTGGTCGAAAATGTAATAACAATGAATTAGTTTTAAATATTTCGGCAATGATTCAAGATTTCTATATTCTTGGAAAAGGTCTTGTAGAAGCGATAGATGTTCGGTCAAAAAAGTTTTCTTTAACCTGATATTCCCTAATAAGTAGTTTTCTAGTTTTTTTTTATTATAGTTGTTTTATAGTCTAACTTTTTTATTGTATAATTAATTATGTACATGAATATACATAAAAGGCGACTAAGTAAAATACATTTATTTGAATAAATGTATAATATATGTATAATATATAAAAAATGGCTATAAAGTATTTTATATTATAATATGATATTGGATATAGTTTGTATAAAAAAATTACTTCATCATTAAAGATCTAATTTCATTATTTAATTTCATAATTACTGTATCATCACTTGTATAACTTCCAGTTTTTAAAAGGGAATCGCGTTCTTCAACTAATGCTTGCAACTTTTTATTCTGCTCTTCTGATCTTTTTAATATATTGTTAGCATTTTGTGAAATTTTGGAGTTCATGGAACTTGGTGTAAATACTTGAGAATAACCATCTTTTTCAACAAGATATGCTTTTGGCTTAATTATGTCAATTTCTTTCTGAATTTCATTTAATAATATTTGATCGTTTGTCAAAGCAGTAGAGTCTGCACATAGTATTTCTTCTAGACTAAAAAGAAAATAATAAAGTACTTTTTAAAATGTATTAATTGGTTACTATATTGTGCCAATATATTGCACATACTCGAAATTTTGTAATTCTTCTTTACTGTTTTTAATTTGAACTTGCATAGCTTGTTGATATTCAATTCTCATACGATGTATCTCACGAACTGCTTTCGCCCATTGTTCTTTGAAAAAAGATTTATTTTCTTGTGCATTTTGTAATTTTTCTTCGAGTGTCTTTAATTCTTGCAATAAATTTGCTGTTTGATCCTGAGTCAAAGAACCTTTTTGATAAGTTTCCAACTCTTCAGACTGTTTTGATACAAGCAGCTGTAATCTTTCATTTTCAGCATTTAATTTTTCACTTTGCGTTTCTAAAGCTGTCTTTCTTTTTTCAAGAACATTAATCTATAAAAGAACGTAAAATTCAATGTTTACTTATAGGATGCAAATACTTTTACATACCTTTGCCGTAAGTTCTTCTTGAACTGTTTGAAATGATTCTTTAAGTTCGCGTAATTTTGTTTCATATCTCCATTGTAAATCTTCATTTGCTTTAATCAACCTAGTCTCTTTTTCGAGACTTTTCAATCTTCGTGTTCTTAAATCTTCTGTAGCATTGTTTAAACTATTTGCTAACATTTTACATTGTTCAATGCTACATGCCAGTTTTGTTTCTAAATTTTCTTTATTTTTTTGCCATTCCTGACTTAATAAATTTAAATGACGATCTTCTTTCCTTTTTAACTAAATTATTAAGAAGAATAATAAATGATACATTTAAAGTAATCATACTTTTTCTTTTCTATAATTTTAATTCTATTAATTTTACCTCAACTTTAAATATTTCCATTTGTCGTTCTTTCCAAGTTTCTAACTCGTCTACTATTTTATATGCTAAACTATCATCTAAGATTGGTGGGCCTAAATTTTCATCTAGATATTTTATAATGTCATTCTGTTACAAAGATTAAACAAATGAACAAAAGATCATACACATTAAAGACTTACTAGGAATGGTTTTCTTAATCCTATAATATGGACCATAATCTTGTAAATTTAACACAACATCCAAGTTACCGATATTATTACGTTCCATATCATACAATAATACGTCACACTGGTACTCAGACTAAAAAAAAAATATATATATATATATTTATATATATATTTTTAATGAATACATATCAGTGTATGATATATTTTTTGACATATTACCTTATTTTGGTAAAATAATTCTTTCGTATTAATTTTACTTTCAGATATACAAGTTTTAGTATTTCCTTCTATTTTATATATACTAATTTTTAGTGGAAAAGTTAACAATAATTGTTTGATTTCATCTATTGCTGATATAAATTGTAATTTGCATCTTATGTCTTGTAATTTTACTTTCTCTCCTAATGAAAGTGACGTTTTTAGTTGAAATGCTGACGTAACTTCAGTTTTTGGATGATGGAATCTATATTAAGGAAAAAATGCATATTTAAGTGAAAAAAATATACCTCCTTATTTTAACTATTACGTTATTAGTAAATAATACCGAATTTCCATGTTTGGGACTGTTAACTTTGAAGATGTTGCTTTGATTGCTACCAATAAAATATTCAAATAATAACAATGATAAGCTTCTATACTTTTAGAGGCGTTGATATTTGATTGATGTAGTAATGTGTCAACTGAATGTGAGCAGGTAGCTTTGATAGGTTGATCTTTGATAACATCACAACTTAAAGTGCATTTATTTATATTATTGTAACCATTTGAGGGATTGGAAATTTGAGTTTCATATTTTCTAAAATCACCAGCAGGATTTCTATGACAATCAATTTCGCTGTAATTCTGAAAATTATAGATAAATACAATAAATTAGTTCTCAATGAAATGTTATCTTGCAATTTATTTCACATAAAGCTTATTACTTGTTTTAAAATATTTTTTAATTCCATGGTATTAGGAATAATTAAATCATTTATTATTGAATTGGAGGTATTCATTCTTATATCCGTTTTACCTATATACTGCAATTTTAATTGTAAATCAAGATACGAGTTCCTACATTCTATGTCATTTTCAATGAAATCTGTTTTACATAAGTAACACCGTTGATTTAAAATACTACTATTGTTTTCAGAAATTTTAAGAAATTCTTCTACATTATCAGTAGGGATTAATGGTTGCAAATTTACTTCCGATTGACTTAATATGTTCTCTTTGTATTTTAAATATATGAGTAGAAATGGTTTCAGTCGTAAATATTCTTTGAAAACTTTCAATGAACTTCTGATCCTTATAACAATTTTTTCATTGAGTGCCCAAGTATCTCCATATTCATTTTTAGATTGATTGAAATGTACATCGTTTTCTAATATCTTACACCAAAAATACAAGTCACTTTTTACGTCTGCGTAATGTTTCATTGGTAGTAAGGGATCTATATATGTTGCAGATATAGCAGTGATATTCATTAGAAATAATTCATGACAAGCATCTAATGGACCTAATTGTATAAGACGTTCATCGCGTAGTAAAACGGGTGTTACTTTATTAGATTGAACATTTACCTGCTGACATTCCTCCAAATTCTTTAACTGTAATATAGTATACTATAATTTTTAGTTTTTAAAAATTTCTTTGAAAGTAAGAAATGATTTACCTCTAATTGAGCATTTACTGTTGTATCTAGATCATGTATACTTAAAGCAAGAAGTAACTCAGGTTTGTGAGTTTTGAGTTCACTTTTTAATCCTGATAGTTTATGCCAATTAGCTTTCACATTTTTAATGTTACTTTTAGTAAAAACTTGGGCAGATCTCAAACTAAGTAAAAGATATCCTAGTTTTTCTTTGTTATCATTACTTTTAACAGCAAAACATTCTAATTTTAATGGAACTTGTCCTGATCTCATCCTGTAATTTAAAAATTATGTTTTAATAACAATTACAAAATATCTTATTATGAACATTATACATATAATACATACTTTCGCAATCTGTTTTTATCTAATTCCCAAACCAAATCATGATCATACTCAGGATTTGAACTTGGTTCGATTATTTCAGTTTCCAAAGAATGTCCATTCAGAGTTGCAACAATTAATGTAGGTAGTAAAATTTGTTCAAAACCTTTGCCTAAGATTATTAATATTAAATATTAGAGTTCTAATTAAAAAAAGGTTTTGATATTATGCAATAATTTAAATCGAAACAAAGTTGACGTTAAGAAGTGTATTAATATTTATATATGGAATCGCAGAATTTTATTTTACTATAAAACAATTCTTAAATAAATATATTAAATAACTTTTTTATTACAAGTGTTACAAACAAAAGATTAACAAATAATCAATCGCAAAGTTTACCTTCTTTTACATTCAATACAACGCGTACGTCAGAATTTGTTAATGCCTCCATTGCATCGTAATATAAAAATAATTAATATAAATTATGCGAACATTTAACGAATATCAAAGAAATCCGTAAAATTCGAATTGGTTACTATGGATACGTAGGTGCTTGATGTCATAACATTTTATTTATCATAGTTTCGTAAATGGTTTACAAGTATCGTAAAATATCATACAACATGTTACTTCTACAATTAACAACGCGGTAATTCTCATAAAATTAGATTCGTTAGAGTCCTCTCAACTATATTTGAAAATTCAAATAAACGCCATGTTTATTGCCACTGAATAAATATACAGTCGCGCAATTACGTAGCCGTCTGGACTGGTCTGGTAACAAAATTCGCTACCAATGGCGGAATGGAATTAATTTTCACGCTGTTTTATCAAAAATCGCGGGAAGTACGTGAAATAAATGGGAAATTTCGTCGTGTTTGAGAAAGATGCAGAGAGAAAGGCGGAAAGATCGTCGACGCGTGGAAATAGACGGTGGGGAAAAGAGGGCGCAGGCGTCGACAAGCTGTTGGGAACGCGGCGTTACTTCGGTTTATGTTGGCAGCACTGTCAGCCTCGTAACAAATCTCACCCATGTCGAGTCGAGCGCGAGAGACAGGAGCGTAAGCTTGTCCACGATCGTTTGTCCGCGTTCGACAGGTCTTTCAAATAGCGTGCGTGTAATCGGTGGACGACAGAGCGCAGGGATACGGTGGTATTACGTTCGAGCAAGTTACGGAGTAAAAGTATTTTGGAAGGCCTGGGGAGCGGAGGGACTGCGGAGGGGACTGCGGTTAACACGGGACTTGTGTGTGGGCATATAATAGCTGATCGAGCATACTAGTGACACGACTGCGGATTTTCCTTCAGCGAGAAAGAACATACGAAGCTCGCAAAGTGCATGTGCTAGTGTGCGTGTCACTGTAAAGGAGTCCAGAGCCGCTTCGGCGGCGCTCCCAAAATCCAACCGCAGGATCGAGCCTGTGGCGGCAGTGGTGGTGGTGGTGGTGGTGAGGCCGCGGCACTATCGGGCCACGATTCAGTACGATCACGATCGCACGCGGCAGGGTCGCTTGTAATGGAGGAGGTGTCCGAGTTTATTCCCGTGCGACAGAACAGTCACGGCGATGCACGCCGTATTGACTGAGACGCGATATTTATCGTTGACTATAAACGACCCCGGCCGGCCGGGCAAGAGAGGCAGGTCGAAATTGGTATGGAATCGTCCAGGGTCCTCGACACGACGAACACTCGCTCCCGTCTGTGATAACCACTAGCCGTTTAGAAAGAGATAGCAGAAGAGAGAGAGAGGGAGAGATAGAGAGAGAGAGAGAGAAAGAGTTAGAGCTGTTGTGTGTTTCGCGCGTGTGTTCTCCTCCGTCTGCCCTCTTTCATTACCGTCTTTAAGTGTAAACATTTCCCGAAATCCGCTTCGAGGTTAGGATAGCATGGGGATTGATCCCCTGAAGGCATCGACCGACGAACCGTGACACCTGCGACTCGCGTCGTGTACGCGTCGTGTGTGCATCTGTGTGTGCGTGCTTCTGTGTGTGCATTTACTCCTTAGAAAGCCGCTGCCGAGCATTGTTATTTCTCATTCGGTGGCTATCCAACGGGGAAGACCAAAGAAGAAAATATGTCAAGAATGGGGATCGATCCCCGACGACAGAATACTGTGCATCGTTTGCATCATTAAATTCCACCATAAGGGACTAACGTCGGCAGCCTTTTTCTCTTTTTTTCCTTTTTTTTTTTTACCATACGATCCACCCTTTCTGTCACGTTTTCAACAGACTGTCGCGGATCACTCTGCCACGACAGAGAGGACACTCGCACCATGCAGAAAAGGGACGGTAGAGACACACAGCTACAGCTTGCGCGTAGCTCCGAACGCGAACAGGAAACGACCAAGAGGATCTCTCGTGGTAGCGGTAATGCTACGAGATTCAACGCATATTCCTCAAGGTACAGTGTCACCTCCTCCTCTAATGTACTCATGGTCGGTCCCAACTTTCGTGTCGGCAAGAAAATTGGCTCCGGCAACTTTGGGGAACTTCGTCTCGGTAAGTTTTTTTTTCTTCAATCTTTTAGCTATTTCTTATAGAGTCTTTCTTTTCCATTTATTTCTTTCTCGATGTAGAGACGACACGATTATAAATACGATCATCAGTTATATTCTCTTTCTCTATCGATAAATACACGCATGCGATGCGTTGAAACGGCTTATTCATTTGTGCGTGAAAATGACTTTTTTTGACTTCTTTGACGATACGTCGAGCAAAATGGAGCCACGTAGAAAGAACACTCCGTGTGCTGTCGTTCGTAAGCAGGAAACCCTTCCTAACCTTTTCGGAGCGGTTCGAATCGCGTTGCGGGAACGAACGGAACCTTGAGCCAACATTTCATTCCGATCGATCTTAATCGGAATTCATTTTACCTGATTTCGACTCGATCGTGAGATCTATCGTCCTGTACCGCGTATTCTTGTCACGTTCGTCGAAAAATTGCAAACACCACAATTCAAATTAATACTAGAATTATTAATACCAGAACCTCATAGTGGGGAGTACAAAGTGAAAAATTTTGTAAATATACAATCTTATTATTACTTTTATTTTAATTTTAATATATTTACTTTTATTTTAATATATTTAGTCGGTGGCAGTAGAAGTATTAAAATATTAACAGACTATTTTTGGCTAAAGTACGGTCAGAATTGGTAAATCACAAATCTCTCTCCTTTTTTAACAATTTCATTACACGTTGCACCGAGCCAACATTTCATTCCGATCGATCTTAATCGGAATTCATTTTACCTGATTTCGACTCGATCGTGAGATCTATCGTCCTGTACCGCGTATTCTTGTCACGTTCGTCGAAAAATTGCAAACACCACAATTCAAATTAATACTAGAATTATTAATAATAAGGTAACTTGAAATTTAGAAAATTTTACTGTCACTGACATACAAAAACGAATGAATGAATTATTTACCGACAACAAATACTTGCGAAACATTATAACTGTTATCTTAATCGCGGGGACTTGCGATTTTTGCACACATACGTAAAATTTCGGCGAACCCATCAAGAACAATGACATTATATATTTCAGCGTTTCGAATTGCATCGTTCAGTGTGTTATCGTTCGAAGTTCGGCTCTTACTGCGTGACGTAACTTTCCGACGATAAATTTATATCTTTTATTTATGCTAAAAGAGAGTGCACCGAATATAGAGATGTTTGCGTCCGCCGTGGTCCACGGACGATTTTTATTTTTCGCGTATATATATACACACACATTCCGTAAAACGATTGGACTTCGACGTTCCACGATGCACGCGTGCATCTTCGTAACGCTCTCTAACTATTCAAAAATATCGTGCATTATCGTCGATGCAAAGTTAAACAATCGACGCGCCGGCTTGTTTGTTATTCGTCCACGTGACTCGGGTTAAATGAGCTCCTCCGATAAACATTGAATTTTACAAGGTATAAATGTTTTATGTATAAGCCTCGCGACGAACCAACTGCGTTCGTCGCGATGCTTGCAACTTCTGGTCTAACAACTTGTATAAACTTTTTGCTCGCTGTCTTTCGGTATGTGTTCGTGAGAGCTACTAGCGCTGGCTCTCACGTTGCATCCTGTCATAATGAATAGACACGTAAGATTCATACGGTTCAAGCTGGTATACAGGGTGCTGCGAGAAAAACAGAGCTCCTTTCCGAGTCCTTACGCCGATCGTTGATTGGTGAAACTGCGGCAATGTTCAAATTTATATTTTTTACAAGCTCGTAGAACGAATCACGTCTTGTTTCTTTTCGTAACGCTCTCCTGTACGATTCGCTGGTTTCTCAATGGAAAGAGGGATAGGAAGTGTTTAGAAAGTGGAAGGGATCGGGCGCCTCGCAAATTCTACGTGCCAATCGAATATCCTTTGCTCTAATGGAAACTCCTCCCGGCGTGGACCGGGTACAAAGGTTTGTGTCCTCAAAGAGACCGAATTAGGTGAACCTCTGAGCTACCCTCCCTCGGAAACTGGAACTATCGAAACTATCGGTGGATCGCTGGTGGAAATCCTACTGGATCGCGCGAATAATGATTAAAACGTCTCAAACGACTCGTCGTTCGAAAGGTTCGTCGTTTGTGTCAAATCAAATTCGGTTCGACGTAATGCTCAGTCGATGAAATTTCAAAAATGTCGCGTGCACGCTGACACGTATGCAACATTCCTCTCTGCGGTAATCGTACGGTAATTACTTTCGTAAGCCACCGTAGATAGAGACGTGATTTAGATAGATTGGTTGTTTCTTTTTTTTCTTCAATCGTGCCTCGATAAGAACATCCGCGTTGATTGTCAACCGCGAGACGAGGCTCGCACCTAGAAGCCTTAGATGGTATCAACTGTGTAAATATTGCAAAAGGAACGGGGGTCTGTGTCATCAAAGCATACGGTTCTCGGAGCTTCAAAGAGGAGAGGGTATTACGCGTTTAGGGGACGCAGACAAAGGGGCGGCTTCCGTGACTCTTTCCCTGTTGTCTTTCGGAAATCACTCAGCGTTCCGACAAGTACCGTCTTCCCGCGCGTTGCATTAGAACCTGTTTACGCGCTATCAGCTGAATTATTGCAGCCTGGGCTGCAAGTGGTGGTCCCTCGTGCCAGCCTTATCGCCGTATCGCGCACAGTTGCCCGACCTATACGGAATTACAATTCCATCGTTTAAATTTTACCTGGTCCTTCCCTGATCGATATATCTCCCTCGGACATTCTACTTCTGTTCACTGTCGGTCAAAGAGGCGTTTAGTAAAATTTTATTTCGTTAAATTTGATAAATTTCGATTCGTATTTGAATATGAATCGATTCGTATTTGAAAGTTGAGAACGCTGTAAATTCGTAGCCGATTAATGTGCACGTAGTACTTTCAATGCAGAGTACACGTTCTTACGAAACAGAGAAATAAAGAAAGAGATGAAAAACGGAGCGCACGTTGCGAGGTTTTGTTGCAAAGCGTTGATTCAAGCAGGACGCGGAATCGAAGTGGTCGAAGTCTGTATTTGCGAACCGTCGACGTTGCGAGTAAAAAAAAAAAAAAAAAAAAAAAAAAGGAGTGTTTATTCCTAAACGTTTCTTCGTCACCCGCGCGAATTGACGAATTATCATCTATTTGAAGATACTGTGTTTTTCTACAGAGGCTCGATCGAGAGAGACGTTTCGTTTCCTGAAGAATATTGTAACTTCCAGACGTACTTACGCTCCAACGTAACTATCTTGTATCGAGAGTACAATGCAGCGAGAGTGTCGTCGGGGGTTGAAAAATTTCAACCACCGTCCCCGAAAGATCAGCCGCGTGTGAATCTCCCCATTTAGTTCTTCTGCCTCGATAGTTCTTTCAAAGTCCCTCGCCTTGTACTCGAATGCTTCCTCGGTCTGTTGTTGCGATTATTACTGTTCGAAAGTTCCAGCTTTCAGTCGTTCGGCCTCTTTAAAAAAAAAAATCTCTTTTTGTGTCTTAGCTGATCAACTGACGATGCGATTTACCAGCTACATACTGTTTCGCGCAGCTGGAGCAAACTGCACCTTTAAAAATGGTTAAAATTGACCTTTTTGGCCTTTCAATGTTCTTTTTTTTTTTTTTTTTTAACGCAATTCGCGTTTTTATCTTCTTCAAAAAATTATTTTCAACTTACTTCCAATACTCTTCAAAGAATTCTTTTTTCAAATGGAATTTCATTGGCTGCTTTAATCGCGTTTCGTATTTTTCCATTTCCCAAGAGACAGATATTCCTTATAACGCCATGTCATACGCGTAAGAAATTAGAGTCGATTCACAAATAACTACAACGTAACCGATTATACTGGCGCTCGATCACGTATTGGTTCTAGATGATGACAAAGAAAGTAAAAAAATAAAAAACCATGATATAGCGATTAATCAAAGCTTTAACGTATGTATATGTTACCGTGTTTTAATTACGGGACGCGATGTCAATTCACGAACGACCATGTTGCAACAACGATCTAGCGACGTTAAGTCTCTTGATAAGTTAGCGCTAGAATATAACCATATTCAGTTCGGTTGCACTTAAAACGATGTTCGTCGAAGGCGTATGACTCATTCTCAATATTAAAGCGTTTGTCGCGTGATTGCATTCTCGTTCGACGGTTGCACTTTATCGAACGCACATCGTAATTACTTGTGTCCCCTGTGTGTTCCATATCGTTAGGTCTTTTCTTTTTTTTTTCCTTTTTTTTTCTTTTCTTTTTTCCTTTTTTTTTTTTTTTTTTTGCCAGAGCCTCCGGATTCCGATTTGTTTCGCCTCTTCCGCCGGGTGAAACTTCATATCGATTTGTGCACGGGCCAAGTGGCTGGTATAAATAATCCGTGATTTAGGACTTCCATAATTTATAGTCCTGTGCGGATTCCTAACGGCGACCTTAATAATGTCCCGAGGAAAGTATCATCGTTCTCGCGGACGCGAACATCGCGCTCGCAACGCCGATTCTCGAGGCTTGATTCGTCTTTGGGTTTACTTGGCCGATCGAAAGGGCTTTTCGTTCGAGCCCTCCTGAATAATGCCGCCAGATAGGCCAGAAGATAGTTCGCGGTATCGTAAAATCGTCGATTGCATCGATCGGGTTCACCGTCTGGAGTTGACGGTCGCTTTACATTCGAGTGATTTCATAGGTAGCGATAAAGGTACACTAATGCCGCCTGTATTGTTCGCGGACATTCGTCGTCCGACTAAGTCATCCAAGTGTGAAGCGTTCCTTTCCCGTCGATATTGTCGAACGTGTCTGACAATCGTATCGTCGTGCTAACGATCGTTCGATTTTCGTACCGACTACACTCCATTTTTTTCTTTTTTTCACTTTTTTTTTTCGATAGATCTGTTTCAACTTTCGCCGCTTGTCAATTCTAAACGTCTTACGTCTTTCATAGATCAAGAGACGAAACTAATAAATCTCCCCTCAATAAATCTCTTTGACAGATCATTTCGCGATGATCGATGAAATTTTCGCAGGGTATTCTGTCATTTTCTGCTTTCTCAGGATAGCTCCGGTCCTAATGTAAAATATCCACCGGATATGTTAATCGATTTTTTGCGGGATGAATATCGTGTTTCGTCGCACACTGAATCACAGGCGGTTAACGATATCGTTCATTACCTTAATGTAACGGTGAGGCACACCGCCAGTTTGTCCGCTATTCCATTAATACTAATTGTAGATTCGTACTTTGAATTCAGCGTTGCACGCTCCGGCTTCCATTGATACGTCGAATACCATCAGGTATTCTTCGCAGATTAGTTCGTTGCCCGCTTCATCGCAGCGGGAACAAAGTTAGCTAATAAGCACGCACACGGTCGCGTGACTGCAAAAAAAACTAGCCGCTATGAGTATTATCACGTTCGTTGTTAAAATTCGTTTGCTAATCTCGCCGTTGTCTCGAACGAATTTTCGATTGTACACCCTTCGTTCTTCGAACGATCGGATTGCCTTCTCTCGTTTTCAATTTTTTGGAAAGCTGCGTCACGTCTCCTTCGCGCGAAGAAACTTTGTTCGAGATCACGACGACAGTAGGAATATTTTAATTAATTTTTATTTCAGGTGTACTCTGCTTGTTGCTTCGTTCACTCACTTATGCACGAGTTCTTTTTGAAAATTGTAATTCGGAGATAGAAACGATGATAGATTACCCAATATCAGTTCATTTGCGATTTTATCGACGCTTGCGATCGTTTGTATTGCACTTCTCACCGATAATCCTTCCTCCGTCTGATATTTTGTATTCGTACAATAATTAATCAGACCTTTGCTTCTCTTTATCGCCCGATCGTCGTAATCTCGTTGCAACATTCTCCGATCGCAATTGTATCTTTCCAATTTGTCATTAGTCATTGATTTCTTTTTTCATTCGAGGAAAGAGCTGTTCAATCATTTCAGTTGACACACGACGACTTTTAATTTACAAGTAATATACATCAGGAACGAAGCAATTTCCCGTAATCGATTATATTTTCTTTTTTTCTTCCTTTCCATTGCCGTCTTCAGTCCTTGCGAACTTTACTGAGACGTAACTTCACGTAAAGTGCATAAATTGCTGCGATCTTTACTTATTATCGGCGAATAACTTACTGCTAACTTACTACATACATATGCCATCTTGCCAACTCACTATCACGGATGTCAAATCTAATCGATTGAAGAAGTTGCGCAAGAATTTTCCAAATCGTTGTAGGAAATTCTACGAAATGCTGGCGTGTTTGACGCGTCCTCTCTGTCCCGCGTGTAGTTTAGGTTTATCAGTTTATCATCTGACTGTTGGGGCTCGTCGGTGTGGACAGGCCGTAAATACACTTAGCGAGGAACTTGATCGGTTTGCGGTCATTGCGCGTTTCTCAACGTTTCTCGTATCCGTGTGGCCCGAGCACGAGGTTTGTCTCGCGAGAGGCGGTATCGGTCGCGTAAATTGCTTCCCAAAGCGATCCAGGAGTTGCGTTGTCTACGCCATGGTTGGGAAAACTGTTCGCGAGAGAGAGAGAGAGAGAGAGAGAGAGAAAGGGTACACAATCGCCTCCAGCTATCTTCCGCGATGTATATTCTGCCGCATTGGCTCCTCTATATCGTTACGGTAACGCTCAGTGGACTGTTCGCGTGGAATAACACGTCGAGGATGGCGTTTATTGATTCAAGAGGCGATGCACGACGAGGAAAGAAATTTCTGTTAACGATCGGCCCTCGCCCTGTTGTGCTCGCCGGCACGGGCGATTTCTCTTCCCTCTGATGTTCTCCGCGTTTGTTAAACGTTAAAAAACAAAAAGGAAAACCGTTTGTGGGATTTGTAGATTTTGGGCAAGTGAAACTTAAGTTCAACTCAAACGAATAAATATAGGCGTAATCGATCGTCCGCTGATTCTAACGAGCGTACAACTTTGTAATAGTTCTCGTTGCTGTTTTTATCACTTTCGACTAAACTAAACGCGACTGGTATGTATATCCCCCAGGGTAAGTTTCAGAAAGACTGCTTCGGTTGTCACAACTTTTTTAAAGTTACGTCGCGACAACGAGATACATATATATATATATATATATATATATATATATATATATATATATACGTGACGAGAAATTCCTCATACATTATAAATAGGTTCACGTGTGTCTCGATTTTTAACAATTTGAAGTGTACAGCTGTTGGAGTGCGTACTCGCATTCCGCCTCTGAGGAATTAAAATTATCGCACGTGATCGTCACACTCTCGTCACACTTGTAGCCTCGCTCGCCACCGATACTCTATATACAAGCTCTATAAACATTCGTTCGTTTCATTCATTCTTTTCATTCTGTACTGTCAACAATATTACGAAAAGATGATGACAAATAAATTGATAAATACATACTTTGGTTACTCTACAAGTTCTCGAAGAGTCGGTTCGTTTCGAATAGGAAGTCCTGTTACTTTTTCAAGGCGCCATGTGGTTCTCTTTAACTCGATTGCTGAATTGATTTCCGCTTTCGGCGTGTCAGAGAGACGGGCAACTATAGAGGCAGTTATTTGCGGGGTTCGCGTGTGTGTTACGTGTCGTAACACGTTCGTGGGCAATCCCTCTCTCTAGCCTCGAACTTAGAAAAGCGTACGACCCAACTTTGTGTTTCTTCGTGCCTTTGTCGTAATAATATGTATGTCCGCCGTTGGAAAACTCGATCAGCTGATCCGTTGACGTCATTGCGGTGTAAAGTCGCCAAAACGATCGAGGCGCATCTCTCGCGAAGCTTCCGAAATTTCGACCAAAGCCGAGCTTCCTAACCTCTTCTTGAGCAATTTTTATTGTTGGTCTTTTATTGCACCGGATGTGCTCCAATTGATGTACACTAACCTCGATCGTCGAATTTTAATTTTTTTTAATTAATCCGTTTACGGTTCTTTCTTTTTCATGAAAGAAGTCGACGTGAAATCAAAGTCGAGCTTCCTAACCTTGAAAAATTTTCATTAGAAAATTTTTATTAAACTGAATGTGCTTCAATCGATATATACGTGTTTCAATATATTTATGAAGATATATCAACATATGTCGATATATACATATATATATATATACACATAAGAACGAACACTATCTTGCCTCGATCGTCGAATTTTAATTTTCCCTGATTAACGCATTACGATTCTTTCTTTCATGAAAGGAGTGGACGTGAAACCAAAGTCGAGCTTCCTAACCTCTTCTTGGACTTTTATTGCACCGGATGTGCTCCAATCGATATACACGCGTTTCAATGAACTCAACACTAATTTTACTTTTTCTTAATTAATGCATTGCGATTCTTCTTTTTCATGAAAAAACGTCGACGTGAAACTAAAGTCGGACATGCCTGTTTAGTCGAGCTTTCTAACCTCTTCCTGAAAACTTTTTGTTAGACTTTTATTGCACCGGATGTGCTCCAATCGATATACAGGCGTTTCAACGAGCCAACACTAGTGTCTAGTTTCGATTGTCGGACTTTAATTTTCCCTGATTGACCGCGTTACGGTTCTTTCTTTCCTCACGAAAGATGTCGACGTGAAACCGGTCGAACGGGAATTCGTACGGCGTGCGTAGAACGTTTCGAGTGGGCTTCTCGCGCTCGTCGGATAAGCTGGTTGTTCTTTATTTGGCCGGAACCTTGGCGCTCGTTCGGGGGACAGGAAGTACGAAATTCCAAACCGTAGGCCACCGAGCGATGTACGTAAAACCGACTTTCCGGTCGTACCTGAGGGGGTCGATCGTGCCTGTTATGACGTTCCCACGGTCGTCACGTTCTGGAAAAAACTTGATCGACCGTCTGAAAGTGTGAGATTGCAACATTTCGATTCGAATCCATTCGTGCACCTCTACTATTTTCGTACTCGAAGCTCGAAGAACCTAATTGAACTCGATTCGGCTCGATAAATTTTTACGAGAAATTTCCAAAATAGTAGCACGACGTTCGTCCCTTTTCTTAATAACGCGTACATCCTGTATACGTACATCCTTCTCGTTCCACGGCGCGTGACGCCATAATTACGTAACTTTCTGAAACTTCCCCGAGCGAAGCGGCGAGTGGGCGTTTATCTCGAAACTGGTAAACAGGAGCTAAAGAAAACTCGGGGTCGGTTCTCTTTGAAGTTCGCGCCACGGATTGGCGCCGTGTCTTTCGGTAGTTTCAAGGAAAG